TGTTTCTGATCAGGTGTGAGACAGTTCAAACTGAATTCTTTTTAATTTTGTTTCTTTTCTGGAGTCAGCGTTTTGGGAGTGTGGTGAAACTAGCTCTCCTTGGGGTCTCAGCTTATTTTCTTAGACTCTGCAGTGCAGCCCCCAAACAAGAGGTCAAAGGAAACCTGGTCTTTTCAGGGGACCCCCGTGCACACCCGTTCTGCTGCTGACACTGAATGGGAGAAATGAGAAAATGAGGCTTCTAATAATGTCATTTTGCCTGTATTTCCCGATATCTGCCCCATAGGAGCCCCTTCGCCTCCCACTGACGTTTCCTCGTACCTTATAGGTGGGCACAAAGGAGTTGTGTTCTCTAAGGGATCTCTATTAGCCTTCCTGGGAGAGAGAAGACAGCTCTGCAGGGCTGAACTTTCCTTTGAAAAGTAAAATGTCAGCAAGGTTCTTCAGAAGACTCTTACTTATGATGTTTCAGAAAGAAAAAAGCAGTGAGTTTTAGAAATTGTACTTGAAACAAGCGAGAGTTTGATCCCTTTACGAGTCCTGAAATCAGACCCTTGGCCCTGCTTTTCAAGTACTTGCCTATGTATCATTTTAAGTGTCATCTTTAGTTTCAGGCCCCAAGAAAGGTGAAAACCCTACTCTTGGTGGTTACTGTGCTTGTTGAAACAGAAAACTGAAAAGTATTAGAACCTTTGAGAATATAGAGTTAGAAAGCTGTAACATTTTGTTCGAGAAGAGCCTCTGGAATGCTTTCTGAACTTTCTTCGCAGTCAAGTGCTCACTCCTGCTTCTTTTAAAACCTAACGCAGAAGCCTAATCCGCAAAGGCTGTCCTTGGTGGTCCTGCCTCACTCTTCCTTCTTCCCTGTATTTCCCTACGTTTGTGTCACACGAACCGATGTCACTTGGTGTTTAGAATATTCAGCACATGTTTTTTGCCTTTTCCTCCCTCTGGTTCCCATTTCATCAGTATTGATGCCATTCTCAGGACATGGGAGGACATTCAAGGTGTCATGGAGCCCAGAGAAATCTGTGTTCTGTCTTTGCACTTCAGGGCCAGCTTTCTACACTGTAGAGAGTCTGTAACTTGACATTTATCAGTTCCATAAAAGCTTAATGTTAATTGTCTTTCCACCAATCACTTTTTGGAAATACTGAATTTTTATTTATTTAGTAAGAATTTTATTTCAAAAAAGATAATTGATTTTAGGGTTTTTAAAACAATAGGGGTAATATGAGGGAGGAAATGCCACCTAACAAATGCTATAGTAATGTAAACATTGGTGCTATTTGTATTACTTATGAATTTTTCAGATTGCTATAGAATTTTGCCCTACAATAAGATACCTTCTTTTTTGCTAAACTTTCCATAGCTTCGCTAAACACACCATGGCCCTTATTCCTGTCTCTGCGAACTCCAGCACTACAGAATGGGCCTTTGTTTAGGTCCAAGCAGATGAAGAATCTATTCCACATCATCCTGAAACATTTGCAGAGCCTGTCCTCTAATATTGGATAATCTCAAGTGTGTCCAGCTTTCTTGTCAGTGCTGAGGCCCTTCACGCTGCCAGCAACCTGGCTGTTTTCTGAATTAGTAATTAACTGAACTGTACACGTGTGCAGGCATCACAAGCCTTCTTTCAGGCACCTCATGTTCTGCAGTCTGACCTCTAAGGAGATGCTTTGTGCTTTGTTAATGACTAAGCCAGGATAAGTAGACATCCTGGGTGGTGAGCAACTGAGCTTTTTTGGCAATTTTGACTCCTTTCTTCATTGTATTTTGCATAGTTTGTTCCCTTCCTATTGTAGGTCACGGTGAGCTGCTGGGGCAGGCAGGCTGGAGGCTGACACCTGGAGCATGTGTGTGTGGTGTGCCTCCCGCGTGGTGTGGCTCTAGTTATCGTGGTCACCAGAATAAGGCCTGCATTTCACAATAGCTTTCTTCCCTTCTACTATGCTTATAATATGGTCTTCATGTTAACGGGTCTTCACTGTGTTCTCATCATTCACCAGACATTAGGAAGGACCTGCTGTGTGCCAGGCATCGTTCCAGGGAAGGCTATTATTGTTGTTATTGTCTTTGAGAGAACAAAATCTCGTATTTCATATTTTCTGTGCCTTTCTTTGAAGCAGAGGGTCTCCAGATTGATGGCCAGGGGCTACTTGTTCCTCCTCAGATGCGTCACAGACAGAATGCTATAGTGGCCACACGCCCGTCCCAGCTGGCCCAGCTGAGGGCCCCGCGGGGACAGGAGCAGTCTCCTCAGCCTCTGTGGGCCCAGAGGGGGCGCCCCTGGCCATCTTGCCTTGTTTTCTCCTGCCGTGTGGGGCTGGCCCCTTTCCCTCTGTGCCTCGGGCACCACCACGGGAAAGGAGACCGCGACAGAGAACCCCAAAGTAGAGTGCGTCCGGCACACTACACCGGTGTCGAGCGTGGACGCCAGCCGTGGGCCGAGAGCTGTTCACCTACCTTCTTCTCTTCCTCCGCTCCATTTCTCTCTCTTCGCCAGACACGTGGGCTTGGCTGGCCCTGGATTCTGCTGGAATCGAGGGGCTGTTGGTTGGAATGTGTAGCGGGAGTTGTTGCCCCAGGGAGGTACCCTCCGCGTGTGGCTGGGTGGCCAGCTGCTCAGAGCAGCGGTGCCAGGAGCACGGCAAGTGGAGGCTCTGGAGGACCGGTCGGCAGGGAGCAGGGGACGCATGTGGGAGGGGAGCATCTCACAGGCTTCTGGGCCCAGTCCACAGCCAACCCTCACTTGGGAGCAAAAGACAAAAGAGTGAGTGAGTCATTTCAATGGAGAATTATGAGCTGATCAGCAAGTGTATCTACACCACGGCTTGTGCAGCCTCGGTGAGGGAAGGCGTGAAATGACTCTTCCAATAGTATCGTTTCCTTTTCCCTTTTCCTTCTCTTTAAATCGGAGCTCTCAGACCTCAGTGGTCAAGAGTTGCGTTAGAACTTCAGGCAGCTGCCTCTCTTTTTGCAGTCGAACAGAGGAGCCCAAGGAGAGGGGACAGAGAGAGGCAGGAGACAGTGGACAACGAGGAGAAGCTTGAGCGGGCATGGCGGGGGTGGGGGTGGGCAACCTGTACTCACGTTCTTTCCCGCAGCTGACCTTGCGTTTCCCCTTCGCCTATGAGGCGTTTGGCCCGATGTGACGTGCTGCTCTGTGGATGAGTAGCTATAAAACTCATCTTCTTTAAAATCCAGAGGGATCTTAGTTGGAAGATGTAATGATTGACTCAAAACTAAAAATATGCATGTGAGAGAGAGAGAGATAAGCAGGAAAAATGTTGTTTCTGGCCTCTCTAATGGTGGGAGACAGGCAGGGGAATTGTGTCCCTTAACCCTGGTGACTCATTTGAAAAGACCCTGATGCTGGGAAAGATTGAAGATGGGAGGAGAAGGGGACAACAGAAGATGAGATGGTTGGGTGGCATCACTGACTCAATGGACATGAATTTGAGTAAATTCCGGGAGTTGGTAATGGACAGGGAGGCCTGACATGCTGTTGTCCATGTGTCCATGGGGTCACAAAGAGTTGGACACGACTGAGCGACTGAACTGAACCCTGGTCTTAGTTACAGACAACAGTTTCCACTCTGAGCCATGTCAGCAGAAGGGGGCCTTTTAGGGAGTCTAGGCTTGTGGTCTCCTCAGAAGAGCTGGACAGACAGGCTGTCTTCTGAAGCTCCAGGGACAGCATGCAGACCACAGTACGTAACTGCCCACTGTGACCTGCTGCCACGCCCACCCCGCACCCCCCACCCAGGCCGCCCCCTGCACCTGCTGAACAGGCGCTCTTCGCCTGTCTGACTCTGCCCATGTCCTGTTTCTGAATCAGCCTTGAGCAGGTGTGTCAGATGATGAAACCAGGTCCCAGGTCTGCACCCCAACAGCAGAAGTTGAGAAACAGTCAATGTAGCTTCCGTGTTGGAGTGTGGGATCTATAGCACAAAGGACCACGTGCTCCTTACAAGAAGACAACACTAGCAAATACAACACAAAAGTTCCTAATCATGTGAGCTGAAACTACAATTTTAGTGTCCCAACTGCAAAAAAAATGCAAATAACGTAGAAATAATACTTTTATGACTTCAAGTGCTGAGGGACTTGTGGTTGTCTGTACCCTGATTCCACATATTTCTCCTCCATTTACACTCAGGTTGGTTATTTTTCTGGTCTGTTCCCCTCACTGGTTTTCTGTGACATGGTGGCTGTATTCTGTTTGATTAGGCTATCACGAAAGAATGGTTTAAAAGTCGTTTATTCATTAATAAGTCTTCATGGAGCAATATTGCTTTGCAAAGTTTGCTGAGATTTCTGGACTCTACTTTGACCTGACACAGTAGAGTTTTGGAACTGTACCTTAAGTCCCTTCAAAGAAGAGGTTTTAATAAAATTCGAGTTCAGCATGATTTTTATAGCACAAATTTGCATAAACATTTTTATAGATTTTTATAGTGAACAATATGAAGTTCACTTTTTTTCAAACTGAGTCATTCTTGTAAAAAAAATTTGTTTGGGATATAAACTTTTACTGTTCTGAAAAACAAGCAAAATCATTTCCAGTGTGTGAAGGTCCAAGCACTTCTTCAGTGGACATATTACTCTCCCTGTCCTGGGACTGACACATAGCATGTCATCATGACAAGGCTTCTGTTCTCAGTGCTTCCTTTCTGGCCATTCAGGGTCTTAAATGAAATAGGTTAAAAAGTAGAGAATATGAACGCACATTGGAGGTGATAGTTTTGAAGCTCAGTATGTGGACACTTACCGAGAAGTACTGTAATTATTCTGCTTTTCGTGTGCACACGGTCATGGAAAGTAACCAGGAACCTTAATTAAAGAGTTTCCCCCAGTTCCTTGGCAACAAAGGATGAGTGAAAAACTTCTCCTTTTTATTTTTTATTTTTTGACCTGAGTAAATAGTTCCTTTAAATATTTTTCTCCACAGAGTATCATCTTTTTATTTTATATACTTTTTTATCATTCCACAGGGGGTTAAATACCTGTGCATTCCAGCAGCGGATTCACCCTCTCAAAACCTGTAAGTTGTTTTCTTTCTGTATTATTTGGACATGTTAAAGGGAAAGGACTTGCAGTCACCAGAGCAGAGGGACCTTGGTGCCTGGCAGCTGCCCTGCTGGGAACAGGAGGCCCTCCAAGTCTGTGCTCCAGGTGGCTGGTCCTTCAACTGAGCAGCTCTGGCGGTGTGTGTGTGTGAGGGACTGATCTTGTAAAGGGTCTCAGACCATGCTTTAGCATGTTCACCTTTCCCTGTAAACTGTTGAATTTTGTGGAACAGAAACAGAACATGAGCCACAAATGCAAGCTACACATGTAATTTTAAATTTTCTAGGTGCCACATTAAAAAGTAAGAAAGAAAGAGGTCAGAACAATTTTAATAATATGTTGTATTTAACTCGGTATACCCAGAAGTACTACCAATGCAACATGTGCTCAGCATTTTAAGGATGAGATATTTGCATCATTTTATTCAAACTAAGTCTTCAAAACCTGGGGTGCTGTTTACACTTACAGCACCTTCCATCTGGACCAGCTCTGTCTCAAATGTCCAGCAGTCCCACGTGGCCAGTGGCTACCCCAGGGGCCAGAGTACTTGGGAAGCTTGTCTGAGTTGAGAGACCAGGCTTTTCTGGTTAGGAAGGTCCTGCCCTCTCTTTCCCACAGCTGGAAGCATCTCCGTCCAAGGAGAGAGTCATAATCGCTCTCTTTTCTAGATCCCCACAGTTGTACGAGGTCCGTGGGACTGGGCTTGGGTGGATGGGGGACAGGGATTGAAGACCCACGAGGTAACAGCTGTGACGCCACCCTGCTCGGTGTCTGGAGGTGATGTGGACCAGTTGACTTTTTCCTGAGCCTGGATTTGAGCCAGACAGCTGAGAGGCTCAGGAGCTGAGGACATGGCTGTCCCAAGCATCCATTGACCAACTTGTTTCACTGCCTGTTTTCAGTCAGATACAAGGACCCTCCCAGATGACACATAGCCATGTTTCAGCAGGAAGAGCTTCTGTAGTTTGAGGATTTTGGAGTCCAAGAGCTTGTCAGCATTCATCTTTCATGGCTCTCAAGCTCTATTGCCTACAAGTCCTATATTACAGAAACGCAGACCATAAAAATCTCACCCCCTGAAGGTGGTCCACTGCTGAATATCAGCCAGCCTTAGTTTTCCACTGCTGGAGAGCAGAGACATCTTAGGTTATGCAAGAATTTTGTGAGATCCTACCTGTTCGGAGAAAAGGGGAGCATACTCAGATAGGCTGATGTGGGGAAGACTGGGGGTTGGGGCAGGGTGGGTGGTGCAGGTCGGACCAGGAAGGGGCAGGGGAGCCTGGCCGAGAGGCAGCAGTTCCCACCCAAGGTCGTGTTTCCACACTGACTCTCCATGTTAGGAAAAGTCCATCTTTAAGATTGAAGATGATAGGGGAAAGACTTTACAGGGTCACTAGGAAAACAGTAGTAGCCTGGATATGGGAGGAGAAGTATCAGAGAACTTCCTTGGTTACTAGTCGTGTCGAGAAACAGAAGTGGTTGGAGGGCATGGTGTGTACGGAAGGAAGTGAGCCACTGCCTTTCTCTCAAGACCACAGCAATCTTCTGCCCATGTTTTGGTGGCTATTTTTAGAATGGTTGCTCTGGTCTTATCTCAAACCGAGATTCTGACATACTGTTGAACTTGTCAATACCTTATTGGCATTCTCACTGTTTGGAGGAGTCTGATTGCCGCACCCTCTGGGCATTTGTAGTCAGGGCGGATGGCCGCTGTGCTTGGACCACCCTGCCCACCAGGACTCTCCAGCTTTGGTGCTTTGGAGAGGGCAGCACTGGGCTTGATGTCCAGGGGTGAGGACCCCGACCCTGCCCTGTGCGGACATTAGAAATCTCAGGTTCAAGGCCACCTCCATCGCCTTGGGCAGGTCGTTCTCAGGCCCCTGAGCCCTAGTTCTCTCCTCTGCAAAGGCCTGCCTTTAGCGTTTGTGGAGAGGAGGCCATGTGTGGAAGTCTTCTCTGTGACCTCCAAGCACTTTTGAAAACAAGAGTGTGTTTTTGTTCAGAGTGCATTGGTGTGGCCTGAGAGTCACAGGAAGGGCCAATCTGGTGCTCAGGAGGATGTGCCCCCGGGAAGGATGGGGACTGAGCCTGCCATAGCCTATCCCCTGACTTCTGGTGTCTCCTGGGTCTGCTCACATCTTCTGGCAAAACCAGCCCAGCGACAGTCAACCTGGGCCCCGAGGACTAGCTTATAAGATTTGAACTAGTTCTCTCCTGTCCCAAACATGTACAGAGGTCTTGTAAGGTGTGTGATTTGCCTTATTTTAACCCTTTGCTTGTATCTGGATGAGAGGGTGGTCGGCAGGTGGGTGCTGCAGTTGGAAAAGGGGTCCAGACCATAATTCATCAGAGATGGGGTTATGCTCATAGGCTCGTAGGCATGTGGGTGAGTCTTTGGGGAAATGTTTATTTTTGATGCATTAGTAATAGCAGAGCTTACACACAAGTAAGACTTTGGGTGCATAAGTGTCCATGACTCTGTAAACGTGTCTTGCTTTAGTGAAATACTATGAAGATAGTGAAGCTTGGAATTTGAGTGTAGTTCATATGTTAAGAGACAGCCTATGAAACACCTTGAGTTTCTCTTTGCCCGTTACAGGTGTTTCATTGGAAGGCACAGCCTGCAGTTTAATGGTGAGCGTGAGTGCACGATACAGCAAGTCTACTAACACTGACAGGCAGGGCCCTCGACTGTGTGACCTCCTCCTGTGCTCGTTACTCACCAGACAGGGTAGCGTGTGCAGGCTGACCGTAAGCCCTCAGCTTCTGTACCCCCATTCAGTATAGACAGTCAGGACACACAGCCTCCTCGGGCTCTGGGACCCGGCTAGAACCAGGGTCCTTGAGGTGAGCAGTTTTCTTCTTGGTGCCTAAGAGTTCTTATATTTAGGGACAAAGTACATTCTAGAAAACTGTATTGCTTATTCATTTAAACAGACTTAAAAAGTTGTTTCCAACTTAGGATTTAAGGTTAGTATCCTAAATCTTTACCCACACATCCCTGTAGGAATTCTTCTTGCTACTTACATCAGTCAGAAGGCCATGACCTTTGGAGAATAACTGCTTTCAGTCACTGCAGAGGCTCCAGAAAGGTCAGTTTTCTGGCTTGGCCATCTCCTCACAAACTCCCCCTCTGATCTTCCAGGAACTTAAATTGCAGAAACCTGGTTTGAGATGACAGTTAACACATCAGAATTTTAGCTCGGTTCCCCCAACCACCCTGCCTCACAAAGTCAGGAAACGTGAAAGTTCAGGGTCTCATAGTGGTGACAACCCCGACCCAGGCCAGTGTGTTCTGCTTGATTTGCAGAATTAGAGGCATCGTAGGCTTTGTCTCAGACACACACACCTCCTACCAGTGGCTGACGTGCAGTGGTTGAACGGAGGCTTCTGGAAATGTTTGCTTTTGCTTTCTCTGTGTGCTTCCTCAGGCGAGTCATTGTAACCTCATTCTCTCTGCAAAATGTCTATCTCACACAATTTCTGTAGCTTTAGGTGAGGTGGTGAAAGTGTTTACAGACCCTAAGTGTCTCCAAAGAATTAGCTTCCATTTTCTGCTTATTCAGGAAAGGAGTGTTCACATGTCTTGAGAGTGAGTGGTTGGAGGTACTGCTGCTTGCTCATTCTTGTTTTAATATTTTTCAAGTTGTTGCCTGTATTTAGACACCATAAGAGGAAGGTTATCATTTTGTCTTCTCTGAGGAGCTGGCAGGTTTGCATCTTCACATCAGAGCCTTGATGACAACAGAGGCTTGAGAGCCAAGCAGGGTCTAAATTTCTTGGGGTTTTTGTGGGGAGAAGAGGCGTCAGTGATGCAGAGAGCTTGAAGTAAGCAGCAGTAGACCCTCCTTGCCTCTCCCACCTCCTGTCTTTTTTGTGTGTGTTTTCTTTAGTTTAGCTCAGCTCATGTCTCTTGTACTTCCAGCTCTCTTTTTCTCTCATTTACATTTTACTTTAATGTTAAAAAGCAGTTTTGCAAGATTAGAGGTAGGTGGGCCCTGGAGTACTGTCCTACTTCCAGACAGAAATGCACATACATAACTCCTGAGGACTTTGTAGCAGAAAGGAGAAATGTGTAGAAAATGTGTGTTGCTTTCTTTGTAAGATTTCACCTATTCAACTTAAAAACTTAGTTTTTAGTCTTAGACTATGTTTCTTGCTTTTGGTGGGTGAAACTGTGAAATGAAGAGGTGGTAGGTGGTAGAGAGGGTTTTTTGTTTAATTCTTTTTAAAATGACCTTATCTGGCACAATGAAATGTACACTACACATGCTTCCCCTGACTTTTCTTTTTTTTTTCCCCCTGACTTTTCTTAAGTGTTGACAGTGCAGGAAATGTAGGACTTGGGGAATCCTTGACAGAAGCGTGTTGAAGGCCGTGAGGTCTGCCGGGTGGGGAAATGTCTCTGTCCTGCTCACCTCGGCTGCGGTGAGAGCTGCACGGTCAGTGTGGGGCCCCAGGGGTGGAGCCGGGGGCTGGACAGCTTTACAGGAGGAAGAGCTCACTGATCTGAGCCACCCCCAGGGCCAGTGCCCAGGAGAACACGCCACCCATGCGCTTTGTTTTCAACCTCTTTTCTGAGGAAAAACCCCTGAGGATGCTGGCCTTTCCTGGGCTTTTTCTCCTTTGCTTTTCTATATACATACTGCACACATTTGTGCACACACTTGTACACACACTTGTACACACGTGTACAGACACATGTACACATACTGTGCACACATGTTTGGACTCTGATGAGGGTCAGGAGAAGCAGCCTGGTCTGTCTGCTGGCTTTGAGGGAGCCCAGCTGCCCGCATGGTGCTGGGCCAGACCTCCCCCAAGCAGAGTCCTTCCCGCCACAGACCCCTCAGTGGGGACCACAGCCCACACATCCTGCCATCTTGGAGTAAGAAGTGATTGTTCAGGTTCAGAGGATGCACATGGCATGGCATGGCATGGCTGTGCTGGACCCGTCTTCCTGACCTTCCTGAAGGTCAGGGAGACCCTGCTGGCTCTGCTCTTGGCCTCTGGGTGGGTGCCCTGGCCGTGAGGAGGGCCAGCACTGACCGCAGAGGAGGAGCTGGGAGTGCTGGCCGCTGCCGGGCTGTTTGCTAGCCCCACGGAGGACAGCGCTCGCCAGGCCCACAGGTCTGCTGCGCTGACAGAGCTGCACACTCACGTGGGCGTGCTTCCTGTGGACGCACCCTGCCGGCTGTCCCCCGACAGAGCACGCCCCACGTCTCTGCGTGGAAGTAAAGGCACAACGCGGAGACCAGGAATAGGGAACCTGCCGCCTGTGGGGGTGTGCTTCCATCTGGGCTTCTGCTTTGATCTGGGGTTGAGCAACAGAAGCCTGAGCCCCGGGGGTTTCCCGCGATGGGGGAGGGGCTGCAGTGACCAGGCCTGGGTTCCCGTCATGAGCTTCCCTGGAAATGACCCACCCCAGGGGCCCCGAGAATGCCTGCCTCCTGGCTTTCCTTGGAAGAGGCGCTTCTAGGAATGTCTGTCTGGCGCGGCCTTGTTGCCCGGTCCTGTCCATGAGTCAGGTTTCACGGCGGGGCTTGGAGCAGGCCCTCCGTCAGCGTCCTGACTCTCCTGCCCTCATCCCGACACGGTGGTGGGCAGGAGCTGTCTGTGGGCTTTTCCTGGACTTGACGCCTGATGCGGACAGAGGTGATGGAGGAAAGGCCGGTGGGACCCTCCTCTCGCTTCCTTGTCTGGGGCCCCTCACATGCTTGTTCTGGGCTCAGGTCAGTCTGCACGTCACCCTGCTGATCACACCCCCGCCCTAGGGGTTCAGGAAGGGAGCTCAGCTGTCATCTGTGCAAGACGTCAGTGGCCTCACAGGGCCGACACATCCCCAGGACAAGTCCCTGGCCTGGCGTGGCCTTCGCGGTGTATTCTGAGGCCACCCATGTCCTTCACAAGCCCAGGCTACTATGTCTCGCCTCCTGACTGCCTCTTCCTTTGCTGGTAGGAGGTCGGTCCCATCCATGGAGGACCACAGAGCATGGACTGCAGTGTGGCGCGTCCTCTTGGGAACCCTGGTGCCGCTGTGTGGCCGGCCTGAGGGAGAGAGGTGACTGCCCTCAGCCACCAGCTAAGGCTGGCGTGAGCCTGGGGTCTGGGCACACGGCCCGGCTGCTGGCCTGTCTGCAGGGGAGACCATGGTAGGCGGAGCCGCTCCTCGGCCACAGGAGGGTCTCAGTGTCCTCAAACTGTTGCACTTGTTGATGTCAGGTAGATGGTGCCTGGCTGCAAATAGCAGGATGGACAGTGTTTTAAGTTATAAAGACATTGATTTACTTCACTCCCTGCCTAAGATGCCCAGGGCAAGTGCTCCAGGTCTGCGCAGTAGCTCCCAGAGCCCCCGTTGCACCCTGAGGCCTGTCGTCTGTGGTCACAGGGCAGCTGGCCCAGCTTTGGGCACCAGCTGGCCACCCAGTGCCCTGCAGGAAGCCTGGGGCAGAGACCCTCCTTTTGTCAGGAAGGGAACCCTCCTGGAGTCCAGCCCCAGCCTCCCCTCTGCTTCTCTGTGGCTGGAACTGCAGGGAAGAAGGGAGCTTCTGACAGCCTGGAGGGGTGGGGACGGATGAGCCTCCGCCAGCCACCCCGCCCCCCAAGCCTCCTCGGCCCTTCCCCGCCCCTAGCCTCGGCACTTCCCATCAGAAGAGCTCATGCTCAAGGTGAATTTTACCTGAGATAAGTGATGGACGCACCCCGCCCTGGACGCTGTGCTCAGCGCTAGGCAGCCTGACCCCTGGGGCCACCGCACTCCTCCCTGCCCTCTGCCTGGCCTCTGCTCCAAGGTCTCTGCATGTCGGGGTCCCCACAGTGTCTTCCCTTGCCTGTCTTACACCACATCGGTTTGGGGGTGGCGCTTTAGTGCCCGGGGTCGCCGTGTGCACCCACATTGGGAGCATGTGTGCCCAGGGAGGTCAGCAGAAACACCCCCACCTCACCCTGCCTTGTGGTCTAGCTGGGTCTCCACTCAGAGTCTGGAGTCTGTGGGTGGGACCCTGGCCCCTCCGCACACGGCAGCCTCAGGCCGTGTGAGAGGTGCCTGCCCCAAAGTCCTCTGTGCCTGCTGCCCGGATCCAGGACACTCGGCTTGCTCAGTTGCTTCTGCAGTCCACGCCTGGCTGCGTCTGTGTGCCCCACCTGAACCCCCTGTTCCTCTGAGGTTCGTTCACCCGGTCAGCCTTCATGGAACCGCAGACCTACGTGTGGCTGCGAACCACGTTCTGTGCATCTCTGAATCTCTCCAAGCTTTGCAGAGTCCCTGCTGCACGCGCAGTGCTCAGTAGGTGGTGTGCTTTCAGCCCATGGGCAAAATCCACTTCAAGGCAGGAGACTTGGGAAAGCACAGGCTCTGTAGTTCCCCTGAGAGTTTTCCTCGATTCGCCGCACGGTCTGGACGACACTGCTGGGCATGAACCAGGGGCGGGAAAAGAGGGCTGCTGAAAAGTGAAAGTGAAAATGGCTCGGTCATGTCCGACTCTTGCGACCCCATGGACTGTAGCCCACCAGGCTCCTCTGTTCATGGAATTCTCCAGGCAAGAACACTGGAGTGGGTTGCCATTTCCTTCTCCAGGGGATCTTCCTGACCCAGGGGTTGAACCTGGGTCTCCGGCGTTGCAGGCAGATTCTTTACCGTCTGAGCCACCAGGGAAGCCATAAAAGTAGGGTCAGGAGAAAAGATTTCGGTCTCATGGTCACGCGGGACCTCAGAGTCTGCGAAGCCCAGTGTTGTGTGTTTCTCTGTCCCAGCCTGTGAAGCCCGGTTCCCACTTCCCAGTGAGGCTAAGGGAAGGCAGGTGACGTTCCCACGGTCACACATTCGGTCAGGCCCCTCAGGCTTGGGGGCTGCAGTTCCCCTGCCCTCAGGGGACTCCTGCCCTCAGGACCTCCCCCCAGACGGTCATACATGAACTGGGGAGTCCACACTGGGTGGGTACCTCCCTCACCTGGTGGGTGGTGAGCAGGTCACTGCGGGGGGGCGGTGGATCACTGTGCTGCTGGGTGTTGAGGGGCCCAGACTGACTGTGGGGCTGGGCCGGACCTGCCCCCAAACATCCGTGTGGCCCCTGCATGTTTCGGGGGTTCCTTGCAGAGAACTTCCAAAAATCCCAGTGGATGGGCCGTCCCCTCCCGGCCTCAGCACTGTGGGTCAGATTCAAAGCCCTGGACAGTGACTGGGGTCTGGACCTGTGGACTCAAGACCTTTTCAAGAAACCTCAGCGGGTTTTTCTTTTCCTCATACGTTGAGTAAAGTAGAGAGATATCACTTCTCTCTTTTTTCCTCCCCACAGGACGCGACATTTCAAAGAAAGTATTAGATTCATCCATGAGTGCCGCCTCCAGGGCGAGGGCTGCCTGGTTCACTGGTATGTGTGTCCCTGCCTGACGGCGAGGGCCTGCTCTGTGCTGCTCAGGGTCTCCCTGAGCGTCCAGCACCCACCCACCTGACCCCGGCCACGTGTCAGCCATGGTTGGTTTTTGTGCAAAGAGAGCCAAACAGTTGTTCCTTCCTTGTCACTTAGCATTCTCATTTTCTCAGTTAGGTTTTTGCAGCGACTGTCAAGGTTGCTGGAAAAAAGGAGCCCCTTTTCCAGCCTCTCCCAACAACCTTTCAGAGCTTGGCTTTGCTCGGTAGCCATTCGAAGCTCTTGTTTTTTGCTGGAGAGTTTTGGCTGCATATGTGGGTGTTTAGCATTGTGTTACTATCACACCAGAACAACCATCTCTCCTCCATTTACAGATTGGGGCTTTTATGTGTTTGGAGCTTGTACTTGGCTCTAAGCAGAGATGAACAGACTTTTAGAATTCAGCAGGTCTATGCATTCACACACCATATGTGTGGTATAAACACATACACCTGTGTACACGTTCTGTGGCGAAGGCTTCTGCTGGGCACAGACCCCAAGGACAGTGCCCCCGCCTGGCACAGCCAAGCGCTCAGGGGCTGAGGGCCCTCGTTGCATCACTGCTAGTGCTTATGCCGAAGACATGGCTAACAGTGACAACATAAGCTGATATTCATAATGGTGACACATCTGGGGGACCAGAGGCCAGTGTTCTGGGACAGAAGCCTGCTGTCATTAAAGCACGGATCAAACAGGCCCCCTCATTCCTGAATGAAGTTCTGGGTTCATGAGAGAATCTCAAGTCATTTGAGTTCCCCCAAGGAAGCTGCTGTTGCAGGGAAGGCTCTGCGGAGACGCACGGCCCGCCTCTGGGGGTGTTGCTGCCCCACAGTGGGATGAGGGGCCCACCATGTGGACCAGGGGAGCCTCACAGAACCCCCAGTCGGGCAGAGGGCACTGGGGAGACTGCCTGTTTTAACGGTGTTCTGCAGTTTTATGCACTTGCAACAGTGAATTTTCATTTTAAAAGAGCAGGGCGTGTAATAAACACTAAAGTGCAGGTTTGTGAGGTTCGCTCACATTTGCTCCAGCACTCTCTGCAGTGCAGCCAATGCTGTTTTGGGGGGTGAGCATCTCCCCAGCTGCACCCCAAGAGGATGTGAGCTTTTTAAAAGATTTATCAGTATTTCTGATACACAGCCCAAGGGAAGAACCACTACTTGAGAGTGGTTTTTATTGTTATTTATATTTGAATAAGTGCAGGGCTGATATTCTAGGAATTCGTGTTTCATTTGGTTGTGTCAATCTGAAGATAAGCTTTTCTAAAAATGAGAAATTTGCTAAACTTCCCCATCTTAAACCGTTGCTGAGCACTCCAAGTCTGACGTAGCACAACCTCTCTGTGACCGCGTTAATTTGCATGTATATTTAAAATTGGTCCCCTTATTCAGCCTGCTGGAGAAAACTGGCCTTTATCACCTGCAGAGCGTCCCCGCCCCCACACCCCAGAGCACGTGGAGTGTGCTGCCATGCAGGCACTCTGCTTGGGTCTGTGGAGGGTATCAGAGAATGTTGGGTAAGGGCATCTGTATTTAATGAGTTTTTTAAATGATAGACTTGACCCTTATGTACCTAAGAAAGTGTTAGTCACTCAGTCATGTCCAACTCTTGGCGGTCTTATGAACTGTTGCCCACAAGGCTCCTCTGTCCATGGGATTTTCCAGGCAAGAATATTGGAGTAGGTTGCCATGTCCTCCTCGAGGGGATCTTCCCAACTCAGGGACCGAACCCGGGTCTCTTCCATTGCAGACAGATTCTTCACTGTCTGAACCATCAGGGAAGAGGCACCTAAGAAGATCAGACTCTAACAGTGTAAAGCCGTCCGAATGGCTGGGGGTGTGACTGACTGACTGCTGGGCCCCTGGACCCGTCAAGTTCCCAGATGTCCTTTCGCTACTTTTCTGTCCAGGGAACGGGGACTATCTGAAGGGGAGGTCAGGAGAAAGAGAATCAGGACACGAAGTGCCTGCAGCCATAGCCAGCAGAAAACCAATCAAGACTGAGGCCGTGTGGGTGAGGAGTGCCCCAGACCCTAGTGTGGGAAAGTGGAGAGAGCTGGTATGCTTCTGAGTGATTTCTGAGGACCCACTGGCTAGCTGTCTACTCACAACCGAGCACAGGCAGCTTCCTACATGAGTCCCCTGACTGCCCCTTGCCTATGGCTCTCAACCTGCAGCTTGGCGGGCGTCTCCAGGAGCGTGACACTGGTGGTCGCTTATATCATGACGGTCACCGACTTCGGCTGGGAGGACGCCCTGCACACCGTGCGCGCAGGCAGGTCGTGTGCGAACCCCAACCTGGGCTTCCAGAGGCAGCTGCAAGAGTTTGAGGAGCTCCAGGTCCACCAGGTAACTGTGCTCCCTCCCCCACAGGCCGGCTGGCTCACGGGCTCCCTCCAGCCCCTCGCAGCCATTCTGCCTTCCACAGGCCCCCAGTTAGCTTCTGCTTCTCTGCCTGGGGGTCAAGTGCAGTCATCTTGATCAGGCTGGCTCTCACGTCCTCAGGCCAGAGCCTGGAAGAAGTCGTTCTGTCGCGCGGCGCCCACTGGCCGCCTCAGCGCTGACTGAGGCCACCTACGGGCCCTGCACCGCTGGGTGAGCGCCGTGGGCGGGCTGGGTGAGGGCGCGGAGGTCTGGCCGCGCCGTGTGACGCCCCGCGGGTCTCACTTCCCCAGTTTCGCCAGTGGCTGCGGGAGGAGTATGGAGAAAGCCCGCTGCGGGACGCCGAGGAGGCCAGGAGCATTCTGGGTAAATACAAGGAGCGGGGGCGTGCGGAGCCCCCGCCGGGCGCGCGGCGCTGGGCCGGCCTCCGAGGCCCGCCCCCGCTGGCCTACGGCAGCTACAGCCCGGAGACCTAGCCGGTGCCTCGGACGCCCTCCTTCCGGCTTCTAGTCGCTGCCTGACCTGAGGACCGGAAGGGGGTGTCCAGTGGATCCAGGCTCCTCTCGAGACCCCCCAGGCGCCCCTCCCCCAGCTTCTGAGCTGCCAGACACTGCGGTCGTGCGCACGGCCGAGCCGGGGTGTGTGTGTGACACGGGGGTGGTGTGTGTGTGACACAGGCACGTTTGCACACAGGTGTGTGTGTGCACGGGTGTGTGCGTGTTGGGGTATCATCATGAAGGCCACCCTGCCCAGACTGATCTCGTGGCCTCTCCCCGTCTGAGCCCCACTGGGCGGTGTTGGGAGGTGACTGTAGAGAAGCTCTTCTCCAGAGCGGCCTCGGCCTGCGAGCAGACAGCGGGGAGGCCCCTGTGGCTGTGGGGGCAGCCTCCTGAGGGTGGTTCCTGGGTGTGGAGGGGTGAGCAGGCCTCCCTCTTGCCAGCCCTGCTCAGCGCTGCCCTCCTCCGAGTCCCGCTCGGCCCTGTCCCCCTGCACTGGCGTTGTAGGGGAGCACCCCAGACGCCCGCCCTCGGCTCCCGTCCAGCTGCGCCCCCCTGGCCTGCTGCCGTGCTCTTCCTGGGGCTCTCCACAAGGCGTGCATGCACCTTTGGGATCTAGGAAGAAAGAGCAGTTACCAGGCACTGTCGTGGGTTTATGAATATGTTTAAATGCCTGTGAACTCTTTAAGCACCTCTGTCTGCTGTGGATGTAAGATGATCTCAGCTACCTCATTAAATGGTTTCTGAAAAGCTGGTTTTCATTTTTCCGGTTATCTCTGCAGCCTTGTGCTGAAAGTGTGTGGTCGCAGTTGCTTTGGAAGCCAAAGGGAGAGGAGTGCATCTCTGGGCTGCTCGAAGCTTCTGACTCAGGCTTTGGGAGCTCCTGGTGGCGGGTGACTGTGACATCGGGCTGTGCTGGCTGTGCTGGGGGAGACCCACAGTGTGGCCCTGGGTGTGGCCCTTTGTATCGACCCATGTGGTTTAAGCACTCAGAGCTATCCGAAAAAACATGCTCGGCCTCTCCCTAAAAAGCTTTCTCTGAACCCCACCACAGAAGGAACCCTGAGTAAGAACAGCTTTCCCTGCATGCAAAGGGTGGGCCCAGATGAACCCCTGGGGCCCCACACGTGTGCAGAGGGCAGGCCCTGTGAGACCCTGGGGTCCCGCACTGCAGAGGGCAAGCCCAGATGAACCCTGGGTGTCCCACACATGTGCAAACCCCAGCTGGACAGCGGGGAACAGAAGCATGGCTGCGAGTTCCCCACCAATAGCCGAGACAGTTTGCTCTAAAGTAATTTTTCCCTTAAACCAAAAAGAAATGTGAATATGTGAACAGAAGGACTATTTAGGAATCCGCGTGAACGCTTCAGTGTCTGCATAGTGTGAATGCCCAGATGCATTCTTGCACCTGAAATGCTATTTCAATGCTTGTCACCTGTGACATTCTTTCTCCACAGCCGCCCCAGGCATTCTGAAGTCCTGGTCCTTTCTCAGAAGACCATAATGCACCTGAAACAATGCCAGAGTTTAGGTGCTGCCAGAAGAAAAGCAACCAGAGTTCAGTTTAAGTGTCCAGACCTGATGTGTGAACGTGCACTTGTGTTGCTCCACGTTGAGAGCTATGCACCCTCTTTGACAAGAGAACGATTTTGACCTAATTCCTTCTTTGCTGGAAGCTGTGCTGCTCCCAGGCTGTCTCAGGGCCCTGCCGGGCGCACCCTGCTCCTCGGGACTGTCTCCTGGCTGTGTTTCATCCAGGGTGTGTGGCCCTCGCCACGTGCACAAGTGCATGTTGATAAAGGGATTTTGAGGCCCCATGCACCTCCCCGTCCTCAGCCTGGGCGTGGGGCCCACATGCTTCTGCCATGGACACCACGAGGCGGGTTTGGGGGCTGCTCTGCTGTATTTTAAGGCCACTGCCCTCCTCCAGAAGGAGGTGTACTGACAACAGGAGACGAGAACTCCCATCCCCGAGACAGTGGGTGCCCTGTGAGCAGAGGGAAATCAGAGAGGGGGTGCCCCGGGCTCCCCCAGGGACTTCTCCTCATTCCAAGCTCGGCTTTAATCCAAGAATGTTAACTGATGTGGACAGCAGTTTAAGACAGTTTCCCAGTGTTTTCTCATCTAACTCGCGGCGGGTGGGGGGCATAGGGGTTGGGTGAGGGAGGAAGGAAATGTGACTTTTGCTTAAAAGAGAGGTTTGGCTGAACGGAAGGAGTCAAGGGCTCGTTGGCTGCGGGAGGCTTGGCCAGTGTCCTGAGTGTCCAATGTCGGCACGCTCCTGCCACGGGCTCAGAGAGCACCCTGTGCCAGAGCAGGCCTGAAGGGTGTGGGATGATGGGTGTTAAAATGCTGATTCTGACTCGACAGGCCTGCCTGGGGAATGTACAAGTAGTCCATGTGTAGGTGCTGGGTCTCAAGGCCTGAGGGTCCCCCAGGAACCACCTGTGGGGAAGTGCAGGGGCAGAGCCTCGGAAGACCCAGGCTGAGCACAGGGCCTGAGGAAACAGTCCCAGGGAAATAGGCTCCTGTTGGGACCCCACTGTTCGTGGCACCAACGGCAGCCACCTGGTAACTGGTGCTCTGCAGGTCGCACACTGCCCCCGCGAAACTTGGAAACCACAGAGCAGGTATTTCATTCACTGGAGGCTCAGAGAGGCCAAGGGACACACCAGAAACTACAGATGTTAGTGTGCTTTGCCTGAACCTGGCCTTCTAGTCCCAAGTCAGTGTCAGGGTGAGAGGGAAGAGGGAGCAGTGCCCCGACCTTTGGTCTCAGGCTTGTGAGGCTGACCCCAGGCCCCGCGGGAGCCGGCCCCGCCGCTGTGTACACTCTGTCCGAGTGCAGCTTCCCACCTGCTCCCCCAGCCTCTTGGGGGTGGTTTGGGGCATGGTGGGTGGTAGTCAGTTCCTGTCCTCACAGAAAGCTCACGGACATTTCCATTGGGAGGTATTGACCACACTTGGATGTTAGAGGTAGAGGCCCTTCCCCATCGAAGCCCAGACGGGTGTTTAGTTTACATGGACGGGGACGGTGACCCACCTGCCTCAAGGCGGAGCGGGCCGTGGCCCTGGCAACTTCCTTAGGCTCCCTTTTCTATGATTTCCTCCAAACGAAGGTCTGTCCAGCCTGGTCTTGGAATCGTGGCCAATGGTGGAGGAGACCTGCGCTGCTTCTCTTTGTTCGATTACTTGCTGGTTCGCGTGAGAAATGCTTGTTCATCCCAGCAGGCGCTCTGGGACCCAGGCAGGATGCACAGACCCGCCCTGAGTCTCAGAAATGCTGGTTGGTGGTGACAGTTGGGAAGTCGGCCATGAGCACTAGTGTGGGTGCTCCTGGGTCTACGTTTGGGGAGGAAACAGGCCATCCCAGTGCGGGGTGAGGGCCGTGTCCTGGGAAGGCGTCCCAGAGACGGAGGCTGAAGCCGAGTGCGGGAGTTGCTGCATGCGGGGAGGGGAGTCTGGCGGGGCCGGCACGTGTGCAGGAGCGAGGGCACAGCCACTGTGTGCCCGGGGCGAGCGTGGTGTGCACGGCAGGGAGGGGCAGACAGAGCTGCAGCAGCAGGCCCGGGCTCTCCATCTGCTCGGTGGTGCCGTGCAGCGACTGGTTGGTTCAACCATCCCGGGAGCTGGGGGGCTGGGCCCAGCGTGGAGCCTGGCAAACGTGTGGACGCCATCCTGCGGACGCGGCGAGGGGCTTGGCCAGGCGTTCTGGGTGAGCAGGCACTGTGATGGGTGTGGAGGAGGGTAGACGGGCCACGGTGGGGGCCGCGCAGAGGGCCGCCGTCATGGCTGTCCAGGTGATCGTTGAAGCCTAGGGCATGGCTGTGTGTGGAGGTGAACAGGCCCAAGGGAGCGAGGGGGCTCTGGGAGGCTGGCGGTGGGCAGCTGCTCCAGGGCTTGGGCCCCCGGGGCTTGCTCCCTGGCGCTGGCTCCCTGGGTCGGCCTCTTCCAGCAGTGGGCTCTACCTCGTCGAAGACAGACTGAACGGGGCTGCCAGCCTGAGGGGTCGGCGGGGCTGCCCCCACTGGGACCCAGCTTTGCAGCCGAGGTGCTCAGGTCTGTCCACGAACCCGGAACTAAGCCCCAGGAGCTAGACTTCTGATGATTAACGTCCAATTTAGATATCCAATTTGTTAATTTATTGTGAAAGAGAAAATACTAGGTTAATAAATACTAATTGACCCCTAACCAAGTTGTCTTTCGTTACCAGATTTGGGGAGCCAGTGTGCTGTGCACCTTAACTGACACAATGTTCTAAGTCAGGTATGTCTCAATAAAGCTGAGAAAAAGAGTAAAGCATCTTGTGAACTGGTCCTGAGGCATCACCCTGCCCTCCTGACGTGGGGCTGAGGTCTGGGTGCGGGGGTGGTGGTCCTGACAGATGCTGTTGCTGTAGCACCCTGGAGCATCTGCCCAGCCTCCACCACGGAGGTCTCTGTCTGGCCCCTGGCAGCCACCCCGGTGTGTGCCCTCCGCCCACACTGGCTCTCTCAGGGTGTCTTTGTTAGCCTTTGTTAATCAGGCTTCTCCCTGGCAACGGTTCCTGCAGGACTTTATGGAGTGCTGGCTCCCCAGGTCCGTCCCAGCAGGGACTCCCACTTCCAACTTTGGGGCTGCTCCTGTTGCTGCTGCTTCGAGACAGCCCGTGAATCCCAGTGTCTGTGCCCTGCTATGTCGTGTTGTTAAAGTTCAGAGGACTCCTCAGCCCTCATGGGAGTCACATGTGCAAAGCCAAGGGGCATGTCGAGCCCAGGTAGCTTGGGCAGCAAGTGGGGTTCCGAGCTGTTCACGACCTGCCGCCCTGCACACCAGCGTCTAGTCTTGAAAACAGGGAAACATTAACACACAAAATCCTGTGATCCCATGTTAGGTGACCCCTCCCATGCTGACACTGAGTTATTAATAATTTTATCAAGAATGTGCTTTCAACATGCCTGTATTTATAGATGTGTTTAACAAGAAATCACCAAGACTTTGGAGGGAAGTTCCTCTTCCCTTTCCTTTTTATTGCCCAGAGGAAGGGAGAAAAACAACAACGACAGTGGTCTCTGACTTGTCCCGGAGGCTTGAGAATGTTCACTGTCCCTTCTGAGGATGTACCAGGGCCTCCTTGGGCTGTCAGGGGCTTGAACGCAGGGATGCCAGCTGCATTTCAGGGGTACACTTGCCTTCTCTTTTCCTCCCGGCTGCAGCGACGGGCTGTGACAGTTCGGCCAGGAGCGGGGTTAGCATTCTCTCCTGCCCCCGAGGCCCCCACCTCGACAAGGGCTGCAGGGCTGGGCTGGGCTCGCTGGCCACGGCTGAACACTTGCAAGTCTAGGGTATTTTAGCTCCAGGTGAGGTCGATTACAAGGAGATAGCCGTCCACAGTTCCCTTTCCTGAAGCCTCTGGTTCAGTTTGAGAGGATGTGAGGGGCAGCATCGACTGGTGAAGCAGCCAGGCGGCCAAGCTGCCAGTGTGCTGATGGGGCCTGAGGGCGACCTTCGTGCCAGGCCTGTTTAGGAGACCCAGGCATGGTGGGGGCTGAATCTGGGTGAGCAGCCCCTCCCAGGGTGGCGGGATGGCTTCTGGAGACAGTGCGGGTCACGCCAGGTGCGGTTGGTGAGCTGGACCCAGGCAGGCGCGCCACTCGGGCGCTCTGTGCACACAGCCGTGCGCTTCCCCCAGAGTCCACTCGCCCCCAGATGCGGCCAGGCCGGCACAAAGAGGAACCATGCTCCCTGGTGAGCGGGCCTGCTCCATCCTCCGCCAGTCACTCTGGGTTTCCCTAGGGCACTGATGGCAGCCTCTTTAGAACATAAGAATCAAGAGGCCTCCATGTGTGCCCCAGAGAAATGTCACCTTCTGCTTTGCAAAGGGTGCGCCCTTCACGGCGAGAGGCTGCGGGCACCCAGCTTCCTCAGAAGGGCGTCCAGAGAGGCCCCTCCTGCGGGACGTTCCGTTCCCCCGGCGTGTGTGCCGCACTCGGGCAGTGACAGGCCGGCAGGCAGGAAGGCGTGAGGCCAGGTCCCTCTTGGGGGCACAGGGGGTCTCCGGGCTCCCACGGCACCGCATCCCCTCCTGCCATGTCCAGTGCCGGGAGCTCGGAGCTGCGGGTCCCAATGTGTAGCTGGGGTGGTGGTGGCGTGGGGCAGGGAGGGTGTGGCCTGGGCTGGAAACCAAGCGGCCGGTGGGGTCCTGGAGTCTCTGAAACAGCTGGGGAAGCCGCGAGAAGGCAGCTCCCTTCCAAGGGGAGCCTGTCCGTGGGGAGCCTGGCGTGAAGGCAGCACCCCGGGAGAGCTGGCTGGGGCTGGCCGTTGCCCTGCTGCTCCAGGGGCCCCCTTGTGCACCCCGCCTCCCATCGGGAGGACGGGATGGTCCGCGGCCACTGAGCACTTCGTGTGTGATGTTTCCCTGAAGTCACCCTCTCAGCAGTCTCCTCACATGGATTTTACTATTGTCCCCAGTTTTCGGATGAAGAGGCCAGATTCTAGAGAACTTGAGTGTTGCCCAGTCTCAGGTCAGAAAGTGGCCGTGTGAACCCTGGAGCCCTGCAGCCTGACCAGCCACTCCAAGGTCGCCTCCCTCTGAACACCAGCGTCCCTGGAGGCGCGGGCATCCCTGCAGGCGCAGGCATTCCTGCAGGTGTGCTCTTAGGAAGCCGTGTGAGGAGCAGCCAGAGCCTGGTGAGACCTGGGGTGTCCAGAAGTACGGAGGGCTGTGTCCCGTCCTGACTCCCAAACCCGAAGCGCAGCCGGCTGGCGGGGCGTCCTGCTCTCTGTGGGCCCGACTCTGTCCCACCGGCTGGGCCCTCTGCAGGGAGGGGCGGAGACCCCATGACAGGACGGAGGACACGCCCCCGGCTTCCAAGAAGTGTGAGTGTGGGCAGCTGGTGCTGAAAGTGGGTCCCAGAGAGAGGAGCCCGGTCGCCTGCACGCTCTGCCCCAGAAGCGTGGTGTCGGGAACCAGCCTGTGACTCACCGCCCTCATCTTTAAAAACTGTCCCTGAAGTGTCTGTGCCTCCCGGTCGGCCCCCGACTTGCACTTTCCCACAGCCCACCTGGGCAAGTGACCCCTCTGAGGGAAAGCCAGCGGACTCAGGACTCACCTGACGTCTGCCCCACGAAGGTGGGGCAGGGCCCCGGTCAGGCCCCGGTGCCCACCTGCGCAGGTGCCCGGGACTGCCTGGGGGAGGGGAGGGGTGCGGCTTGGCAGCCCTGCCTTCAGTGGCCTTTCAGTTGAGCTGGGGATGGGAGGCAGTCGCTCCAGAATGTTCTGTGAACAAACACTGCGCTTAGAAGCACAAGTGCAGGCCAAGAGGGCCCCCTGTGCAGGGTATGCTGGCTGTGGATGGAAACCGGGGGAGGGGGCAGTCAAGAGCATGCAGGGCGGGGTGGAGGGACATGGGCGCAGGCACAGCTGGGTGACCTGGAGGCATGGGGCCCTGGCTGTGACTCGCGGGCAGGGTGGGCTGGAGGCGGGGACAAGAGCCGTTGTGCGGGTGGGTGTCCCATGGGACGCCCACAGGCCCTTCCCAAAGACCATCCACCAGGCAGGGTGGCACGCGCAGGTAGGTCACCTTGACGTGGTGCCAGGCAGGGCTGGTGTGGTTTCCCCAGAGCAGAAAGCGTCAGGTGCCAGAGGTGATCGGCAGGGCAGCCCCTGCAGACAGAGGGCTGTCGGGCCGCAGAGGCTCGGGTGGGGGACGCCCAGGAGGGAGGGTGGGGCACCCTGGGGTCACCCGGTGCTGAAGTGTGACCCTGCGGAGGAACCTCTGCACAAAGTGTGTCCCCGTCAGGGCTGCCAAGACTCCTCACCCAAACTCCAGGCTCCAGTCCTGGAGCTTCCAGGCCGCATGGTCACTGGGTGCTCCTGGCGACCCAAGTGCCCGCCCCGCCCCCAGCACCGGGACTTGGGGGCTGGGGTCCTTGTGCTCCTGCCGCTCCCGCTGGAGGGGGAGACACACCAGCTACAGAGCACTGATGACAAATGTCTCATGGTAATAAAGAACCATAGTTCATCTGTCTTTTGTTACCACCAAGAGCCAGCAATCCTAAACCATACAAGTGCTAAAATATTCCTCCTCCCAAATTTCTGTGGTTCATCTAAATCTCAGTAACCACTGTGTGTTAGAGAGAGGAGCCTGGTGGGCTACAGTCCATGGGGTTGCAAACAGTCGGACATGGCTGAGCCACTTCGCATTCAGGAAGACTTGGGATCCGAGCCCCGTGGGGGCAGTTTGGTCTCTAACATGCAGAGTAGATTTGAAATAATCAAGGGCAGCCCCTCTGTACATTTACCGGCCTAAACAACATTGGGACTGGGGCGTATTTGAAAGTCAGCAGAAATGGTCCCAAAGAAGCATAGGACCGCTGTGCTCAGTCGTGTCCGCCTCTTTGCGACCCCGTGGACTCTAACCCACCAGGCTCTGCTGCCCATAGGATTCTCCAGAGAAGAACACTGGAGTGGGTTGCCATGCCTTCCTCCAGAGGATCTTCCCGACCCAGGAATGGAACCCAGGTCTCCCACATTGCAGGCGGATTCCTTACTGTCTGAGCGACCAGGAGAGAAGCATGGACTTGCTGTTAATGGGATTTGACATCACGTGGGATTCCTGTGCATCTCTCCCAATCGTATCTTTTAACACTTTTCCTATTTGTTATATAACATGAAAGAACATTTTCAAAATTAAAGCAAAAGTGGTCTGTGATCAACAATGAGTAACGATAGGCTGAAAATCTGACATGAAGAGAAATTTAGCTTTGACACAATCATTGACAAATTTGCAAAAGTTAAGGCTTTAAAACAAATTGTAATTACTCATTAATGTGATAGACTGGCACAAAGATAATATATGCATTTTCCCATTTTTCAAAATACATTTTTATCGCAATTGAAAGTATTAGTCCATGACTTTTTCTATCCTTTTTACTGTGACATTTATTTTAATTTTGTTCCCATTTACTTATTGGCGTGATAATAAATATAAAATTCAATAAGAAGGTTTTTACACCACGTGTTTCTCTTCTGTCCCGTTTTTTTTTGTTGTTTCATTTCATGGCCATTACTGGCTGTCACGTGGAGGCTCCTGGCCGTCTCTGCCATGTGGACCAGTACTCCCAGGGAAATCCCGAGGCCCTGAGATGGTCAGTGTGCTGCGGCCTGTGTGCATGGGGCCGGAGCCATTCTGATCTGTCATTTTCATGTTTCCTGACAACTGGGACGTGGTCAATGTGCTTCCATTTCATTCTCTGTAGAGGCTCCAGTGAAAAGACTGAATAGTCTGACTTTTCCCATGTCTATTTTTTCTGGTCCTTTCTTCAAAGAGAATTGAAGGCTACTGTTGCTCTCTGAGGCCCCTGGAGAGAAAGCTGTTTCCTGCGCAGTGTTCTCCGGTGGTGTCCCTTCCACTCAGAAACTCATGTACAAACACGTACATTTCACAAGAGACTCAGGTACAAACACGTGCATTTCACAAGAGACTTATGTACAAAAATGTACATTTCACAAGCGGCTCAGGTACAAACACGTACATTTCACAAGAGGCTCGGGTACAAAAGCGTCCATTTCACAAGAGACTCAGGTACAAAACGTACGATTCACAAGAGGCTCAGGTACAAACATGTGCATTTCACAAGCGGCTCAGGTACAAACATTTATGTTTCACAAGAGACTCAGGTACAAACACATACATTTCACAAGAGACTCAGGTACAATACGTACATTTCACAAGAGGCTCAGGTACAAAAATGTGCATTTCACAAGAGACTCAGGTACAAAAACGTGCATTTCACAAGAGGCTCAGGTACAAAAGCATACATTTCACAAGAGGCTCAGGTACAAAAACGTACATTTCACAAGAGGATCAGGTACAAACATGTAAGTTTCACAAGAGACTCAGGTACAAACACAGGCATTTCACAAGAGACTCAGGTACAAAACGTGCATTTCACAAGAGGCTTGGGTACAAACACATACGTCTCACAAGAGGCTCAAGTACAAAAACATGCATTTCACAAGAGACTCAGGTACAAAATACGTACGTTTCACAAGAGACTCAGGTACAAACACGTGCATTTCACAGGAGACTCAGGTACAAACACGTGCATTTCACAAGTGGCTCAGGTACAAACACGTATATTTCACAAGAGACTCAAGTACAAACATGTACGTTTCACAAGAGACTCAAGTACAAACAGTTGCATTTCACAAGAGGTGAACAGAGGCTGAAAGGCCCCCTCTCTCCCAGTGCATTTCAGAGACTCAGATATATAATCATTCTACAGACATACAACTTACTATCTCCTCTATTGCAAAAATCACAATGCCTTTCTGCTTGCTGTTGGCACCTAATTTAAGTTTTTGTGAGGCTTTGATGAATACCAGCCATAAAGCATGCCTTTCCTGGGACTTCCCTGGTGATCCAGAAATAAATATCTTTCAAAAAATTTAAAAAGCATGCCTTTCCTGTGTCAGAAATTACCAAGTGCATTTCTTCTTTTTTTTAATTGAAGTTTAGTTGATTTACAATATTGTGTTGGTTTCAAGTGTACAGCAGAGTGACTCAATTTTATATATTGATGCTTTAAAAATTTTATTTTCCATTATAGGTTATTACAAGATATTGAGTAGAGTTCCATGTGCTATTTGGTAAATCCTTGTCCCTTACCAGTGCGTTTCTAAGGTAGGGGTACCAGCCTAGGCCAAGGGACCCTCAGCTCCTAGGGGGCAGGGCCTGGCCCATAGCAGGAGCTTGAGTCCGCCCCCTCTCCCACCCCTCCCAGCCCCTCCTTGGGCACCCCTCGGGCCAGCAAGCCCCCAGGCCTGGCTCCTGCCCACCTTGTTCCCAGACCCCAGGGCACAGTCTGTGATTCCCCCTGCTCCTGGAGTGTGGGCTGAGCTATCGTCGGAGGACAGGAGCCCCCGCTCCTGCCCGCCTGCCCGCCCAGTCCCAGAACAGCACTCAGGGCCTTGTTTGGCATGCAGTTAGCACCGTGGGAACTGCAGGAATCTGAGCAGGACCCGGCTCAGCCCACCCGGAGCGTCAAGTCCTCCATGTGCCCACATCATTCGTTTCTGAGCCCTTTCTTTAAGAAATAAATACATAAAAGTCAAATGTTTTGAGAATTGAATCTTAGCCTCTTTCTTTTTATCAAGGCCTCACCATTAGCACCTGAATCTTGTTTTATTTTGCTTCTCAAGCTAAAAATATACTTCTGCTGACATGTTTATATCTTCTCTGTATGTAAGTTAATCAGTCAAAACAACTAGTGGCCCCACTGTGCTCACAGCCCTGGGCCAGGCCCCCGCCCAGCCAAGCCCATGGGTCCGCTGAGGGCACAGGTTGCTCTGCACACAGAAAGGCCTGTTCCAGGGTCTCCTCCAGGATTCCGCCTGAGCCGGAGCCCAGCTCCACCTCTCTGACTACAGATGCGTTCCTGTGGCTGGGATTTTTAACACAGCTACGCATTTCTCACAATATCACTGACCTTCGTCTGTCACCTTTCACTCCGATCCATGCGCTTGCTATCTGATAGCCCCGTTCTGTTTCCTGGATTTCTTAATTCACTGCCTTTCTCACAATTTATGTTCATTTCTCAGAAGAGGGTGATGCTGATTGTTTGCTGTGAAACTAGCTCTGGACAAAGTTCACAGAACCAGTTGAAATGGTTGCCTAAAGCCATGTTTCTTCTCTCGAGAAGCATGGCTGGTCCTGGCACTGCACACCTTTCTGGAACAGACTCGGGACAACGTCGGCGGCGGGAATATTGAGTGTGCCCCAGGCTCCGCGCGAGGTGCTCTGCTGCGTTACTGCGTGCAGACCTGCCTGCTTTATGCCCGCACCCCTTTTCTCCAGGTTTCTCGGGAAAAAGTCCACACTCTAGGTCTTCTCTCCAACAAGTTCTTCCTGAGATTATGAAAATTTATCCACCCTCTGCAAATGAAAGGCATCTACAATGGCATTCAGAAAATTACTTTGGCTTGGTCAGTTCTATAATGCTTCACAAAATGCTCCCATGCAGAGAGCACCTTCAGGTGCATTTACTTATTTTCCCAACAGAGCCGGTTAGTGTCCCGCACCAGTGCTCAGCTGACCTGGAACTCAGGTCCAACTCGTAGTCCAGTGCTCTTTGCTCTACACCACGTCAGAACCAACAGGCTCTCCGTGTAAGCAAAACAAAGATAACCGCCAAAATAATTTGGGCACAAAGGTCGAGGCAGTGTTGTCATGTGACACAACCAGGTCCCAGCAGATTGATTTATGATTTAATAAAGCGGAATTGAATCACAGAATCACAGGCCGCAGTTACCTGGTCTCCACATGATCCACTCACACAGGAAAGTGTCATTCTTCGAGGAAGGCGGCTCTGAAACTGTCTTGAGGCTTGTAGACTGGAGCTGGTTGTCAAAGATCCACTGACGAGGCTCAGAGAAGCCAGTGGGCAGCAGGGCAGCAGGTAGAGAGGGGTATGCCGGGGGCACCTGCTGGGAGAACCAAGACAGAGGCGCAGACAATAAGCTAAAGGGGAGCGGCAGCGGCAGCAGGCAGGTGGCCCGAGAACTGGGCAGACAGGGAGGAGGCAAGTTGGTCTGGGGGAGGGACGGACCAGGAGCAGGGCCCACGGTCCTGGGGACTGGCCGGGAAGAGTGCAGTGTGCTGCTATCATGCTGGACAGGTCAGCGTGAGTCACACATTCTCCAGCACAACTCTAGACCAGTGGGAGCTCTTCGGTCTACACCGAGTCATCAGACGTACCTCAACATAACTTTAAGACCAGAGTCTCGGTCTCCTCTTGTACAAAATTCTTTTACCCTAGAACTTAAAAAAAATAGGTCTGAGGTCCATGGAAAAGAATTGACTTTTTCAAGAGAAATTTGAGTAGGAAAGGAAACCATGGGGCAGTTGAAAAGTAGTTACAACAACCAATCTAAAGAGGCAATTGTAAATATTTTCATGGATGATGGTTAAGTACGGTGGTGACTACATCTATGACTCTCTTAGCTAGAATAAACCTAGTTGAGTTGTTGAACCAGTAACCCTGCCTCCCACTTTTTTTTCTGTAAGTTTAAAACTTGAAGCGTAGAAAGCCGAGTCACCACTGTATTCTTAACTTAGCTTGCATCACTTGGGCAGTGAGGACCATGTTGCTCACTCTGGTCATGACACTTGACAACTGTCAATATTTGGAAAGAGAACTTTAAAAATTACTCCTGAAGTTTATCTTTATGTATCTGTCAAAAAGAGGTAGGGAAGAAAACCCTGACTTTGGATCTACTCTAGCAATGTCACCTTTTCCCCCAATGTTTTAGAATATGCTTATTTTTAACAGGTGTTTGTTGCCCAGATCCTGCTCAGCAAAACACTACTGTAAAGTTGTGCATATTTCACAGAATATGAGTGAGACATCCTCTGTCTTTTACTGCCCGTTGTTGTGGCTGATCAGCAAGTCAGAGAGAACGTTCTACATGACACTTTCTAGGAAACCAGTGGGATTTAACTGGTAGGTCAGCATCCTTCCTGCCCTCAGCTCACTTCAGAGGTTGGGCCTAATCAGAATTATTGATCACTGAGTTGCTTTTCCTGAGATGTTGGCAGGCGTTGTTGGGTGAACCTCCTCCTAGCACCTTCCACTGGGGCTGGTGTGAGTTCCCATGTCCTCAGTTTGCTGGCCTTCAAGCAGGGACAAGACTTCTCAGAATTTCACTGTCTTGTAACATATCAGGTGTAGACTCATTAAAACAGAAAGCTATCTTTTTGCCTGAGAGGCCTTGGGGAAAATTTAAATTGTTAAATTTAAATTGAAATTGAAATCATCTCTTCTTTTCCACAAAGTCCCCACAGCTTCCAGCAAAAGGAGGTGGGGGGTGAATTCGCTACCAACCCCTTTATCCAAAACTTGGCCACAATGAGGTCTTGGGATAATTTACCCGACAGCCTCCATTTCTAACCCACTGTTCACTTTTCACAGGTCCATTAGAGCTGAAGATTCTAGAAATGTCAAGTGCTGCCTCACGGAGGGTTGAATATGTATTGGGTATTTATAGTAGGTAATTATAACTTCATCAGGAAGGCTCCAAACCCCTGGGAATAACTGGGATTCCAGGTAAGGGAGAGTATTTCTGTTCCCCAAAAAGAGGCCCCAGAATTGTTTGACTAGCAACAGTAGCTGTTGTTTAACACACAGCAAAGGAGATAGGCTTCTTTTTTCTTTTTTTACTGTGGCAGAGGTTTGAGTCTGCCATGGGGGATTCTGGGGGGTTTCAAGCCTTTTTCCCCTTTGCATCTCATGTCACAGTAGGCATGCTCCATCATGAATGGTCCCCACCTCACCACAAAGAATGCACAAGGTCCTACAGGGCAGACCCTGTGGGCCGCCTGTCTTCTTCCTGGCCAGGTTGGACATGGGTGACCATGCGTACACACTGTTTTCCATAGAAAGACACACATAAGCACTGACTACACAGCCCGTTGGGTTGCATCAGGTGCTAACAGACGGTGCAGCTGTTTGACCGGCAAAAACATCTTGCTTGGTCTAACGGTCACTGTGGTCAGCAGCATGCTGGGGTCTGGCCTTGGTTTGGGGAGACCACGGCCCAGACTCCAGGGAAGTCCCTGGGATGGGGCTGCCCATCCTTCTGCAGTGCGTTTACCTTCCTATTGGGTTTCTTTTCCATTTTTTTAAAAACAGCTTTATTGAGGTCAAATTTACATACTATAAACGTCACTTGTCTGGAGTGTTCATCTCAGTGAGGTTGAGAACCCTGACCTGGCCGTGCAGCTGTCACCGTAAACCAGATGCACCCGTGTTTCCACCAGCCCATGGCCCTCCCACCCACCCCGACGCCCACCATGCACTGTCGTTCCCTGTAAACTGCCTTGCAGAATGTGTCATATAAACAGGACCTCTGGGTCTGGTGTCCTTCCTGGCATACAGTTTTTGAGAGTCATACATGGTGTAGCATGTGCTGGTATTTCTTCCTTTTTTATTGAACAGACGTTGTTTTAGTTTTGTCTGTCTTGCTTTTTACCAGAGTTAAGGATTCATCCATGGTTCTGCACTGGGCTGTCTGGGGGCACTGTGTTGTCACATGTGGAGGCAGGCTGCTCCCAGCATCTGGTGGAGAGGCTGGCGATGCTGATAAACAAGCCCAGCAGCAAACGTGACCTGTGCCCACACGCCAGCGGTGCTGAAGCTGAGACTCCCTGGGTTGGGCCTCAGGAAACATCCTCTGACCCTCAAAGCACATGTTCAAAGCCAAGTGTCACCTGAGGGACTCTTCCTTTGTGTGTACCACATATCATTGATGTTCTGTTTGTCTAATTTATATGTATGTTTAAAATATAAACTCATTTGCAAAATTGATACTATTTTTTACCATTTTGGAAAATTTTGCAATCTCCAAAAATATTATTCAACAGGTTGCATTGTCCACCAGGGAGAAAGAGGAGGAAGAGGAGTAGATAGTTCTTGTTTCCTGGTTGATGTCTCAGTAGAACTTGGTTCTGGAAATTAATTGACAGAAAAGGGACAAATGGCATGGCTTGTACAGCTTAAATTCTAGGAGCTGCAAGAATCGTTGGGGGCTTATAATAAAGGAATTTAATAAAGGACACTAAGCTTACTTAGGAAAACATTGCACCATAATTTTTGTGGCATAACAGTGTTATGTACTCTGGTTATAATTTTCCACTTCATCTCCAGACCTTTGAATCTCAATGTTATTCTTAACATTAATGAATAAAGTTTACAGGGGGCAGGAGTTAGAAGAAACAGATCCAAAAAACAAAACTGAAGACGTTCTTATCACCCAGCCTAACACCTCTCTTGAGAAAAAGAAATCAACCAGAATTAAAATATTTTGTTTTACCTGAGACTAGGGCCCTTGCTTGGCTTTTCCTCTCCAGTGGTTGAGGTACCGAGAGGTGGGATTGTCTCTTGGTTCCTTTGAGCTTTGTGTGGTGATGAGTAAGAAACAAAGTTCTCTGGAACTTAGTAATGCAAGAGGAGACTGAAGTGCTGTGAGTGGAAAAGCCGTCCCCAGCAGGGGCACCTCTGGGGATCCGGCAAATAAACAGTGTGTTCCTGCCGCCCTGGGTGGCTTCTCGCTCAGACCACTCCTGTGTCCCCACGGGCGAGGCAGGGCGCAGGGCAGGCTGAGCGGGGTCTCCTTGCAGCTTGCCTGCTTTCTGACCTCCCGTATCGCCCCTGGGTCTTATCAGCTCCTCCTGCCTTCACGTCAGAACTACGTGGTGGAGGTAAACTGAGGGCAAATGCAAACATACATGTGCAGGTGTGCACACGTGTATGCAGATGGGCGCACATGACACATGACACACAACATGCACACACACACAACACACATGGGCACGGCACAGATGCACACACACATTCCTCAGAATGACCATACGCACTTTGGAGACACATTCATCACCCCCAGGTAGCTATTTTGTGTCTGTGTTACAGTTGAGGACACAGGCTCAGAGAGGTTGAGTAATTTGAACAGGGCCACACAGCTGTTAAGTAGTTGAGATTAGAACGAAGTTTTCTCTAAATCCAAATTCCAAAAAGAAAAGTAGTACTAAAAGAGATCTGGCCCTTAAAATCTGTACCCAACATAAACAGACCAGGTGATGACAAGCATTTGTATCTCCCGGTTCTGGAGGCGGAAGTCCAGGGTCAAGGTGTCAGCAGCAGACACGGAGTCTGGGGAGGCCCCTTCCCAGTTCACAGATCTCCATCCTCCTTTGTGGCCAAGGCAGCTGTCTGGGTCACCTCTGTGGGGACGCCAATCCCATTCCTGAGGCTCCACCCCCAAGGCCCAACCTCGTAACACCTTCACCTTGGGGGCCAGGGCTGCAGACGCGAATGCCTGTGGCACCAACCCTTCAAACAGCCGTTCTGGGGAGCTCACCAGTGGCACCAACTTCCTATCAAGTTAGTACTGCACGTTCCTCACCTGGAAAGGCCATGGACAAAAGGCTTGTGTTCAGAGCTAGGAGGCTCTGCCATTTCTGTTGGCTTGCTCTTCACTCCTGCCACCTTCAGTCACAGCTTCTTGCTAATAGTTCTCTGGGGGCCTGTCTGCTCAAATCCACATACAGGGCCCTGCAGTGCCCATGCTGGTCACCTCTAGGAGGGGCCACTGTCGCTCTCTAGGCTAAGCAAGGAGTCGGCTCATTTGTTTAAACTTTGCGTTAAAACAAACAGAAGTTCTGGCATACCCCTTTGGAGATCTGCTAAGAACACATAACTGGCCCTGCGGTGCCCCGGCCCCTAGAAGAGAGCTGTGCTGACACAGGCTGACTGTGCGAGAAGGAGTTTGGGCAGGAGTCACCTTCCCCTCAAAGACTGACGGGGCCAAGTGACAAACCTCCGGTGGAGCTGAGCCTCCGAGCTCCCTCCAGTCTGGGGGGCGGGGTGCTCAGGCAGGTTTCCAGACTCTCGCATGTGCCCCACGGAGTACGAGCTGTGAAGTGACGCCTCTGGGGGGGGCGGGGGTAGATTCGGGGTGTAAAGTCTGCTTTCTGTGCTCTCACCTTCTGGAGTGAGTCGGGAGCCAGGCTGATAGAACAGCATGTGTGCCCTGTGAGTTTGCCCCACACCCCCAGCACTGGGAACCCAGGAGTCCGCCAGGAGCCCTGAGTACCACCCTCAAACAGAGGAGGGGTTCTCACAATAATAAAGGTACAAGTAAAAGTGCTTCATTGTAGGCGAATTCAACAGTCACGCTCAGGACAGTGTGTCCCCCTCCACCTCGCTCCTGGGGCTGCTCGCCCCTAGCTCTGGACCTCCCAGCTCTGGACGCCCCCAGCTCCTGGAAGCCCCCCAGCTCTGGACGCCCCCCAGGCTCTGGACACCCCGTGGTTCTGGATGCCCCCAGCTCTGGACACCCACCACCACCACACCCCCACCTCCCCCGTGGGCTTGTGTGTCCCCCACGAGCGTGCAGAGGAGCCCTGACGACCTGCTGCCTGTGCGCCCTTGTGGCCCTGCTCCCTGATGTTCCAGGACACAGCTGTCCTGAGTCCTGGCTGCTCTGACAGCTCTCAGTTCTGCAGGGTGACTTATGTCTCCTGATTCTGTTACCTTACCAGCTACTTTTAGAAATATGAGATGCTTGATTCCTAGTTTCCGGCTCCCCAGGCTGGCAGAAGCTGGAACTGCCTAAAAGCCTGACTCCTTCTATGGCCCACATGCGGGCAGTGGCTCCAGAGCAATCTGCAGGCAAGGGTCGGGGGGGGGGCTGGGAGTCAGGGGTGGGGGCTGGGGGGCACCTCTGCCAGGGATGGACGTGGAGGCCTTGCTCCAGGAGGTGTGGATTGGGCACAACTGTGGTTGTGAAACGAGTCTCAGAAACAGGCAAGGTTCAAGCCCCGCCACCCCGAGGTCTGTTTCCAGCAAGATGACCTGCTGTGGGGTCTGGCAGTGGGGGAAGTGGGGGAAACTACCCAGGAACCCGAGATGCGTGGGGCCAGAAACCCGGCCGGCTTGAGGAAGAGAGGGAGGAGCCCCGGCCCCTCCCACCTCCAGGCAAACGCACCTCCTGTGAGCAGCCAGCAGATAGGAGCGTCCCACCCATGGATTACAAGTGTTGGGTCCTAATCTATGGAGCAAAGTAAGCGTCTGTGAGTCCACAGTGATGGATATAAACACATAAATAGATAAACAACAACAAATGTGGAAGAAACAAAAAAAGGGCCAAATCACCAACAGGCAAACCTTACAGTAAAACACATCACAGGAAAGATCTGCTCATGGACTCAAGTCACTGGACTTTGAGAGAAAAATAGGGTGTTTTCGTAGTCTCTTATGAAAGATACCTCTTATGATAAGACAGGCAACTTATCCCTCCCCAGAGATTGATCAGTTAAAAAGAAAGAAACTAACCGCACAGTCCTTACCGTGGTGAGCACCCACAGCGTGGTGATCGGTGAGGAAGTCCCGTCTCCAGGAAGAGGATACACCTCGAGGTGATGCTCGCGGAGGGCCACGCACATCTCTGTGGGATTCCTGCTGAAAGGCATCCCCTCAGCCGCTCTGCACTGAGGAAATGCCAGACAAGTCCTCACGCTGACACTTTCCACAAGATCATGAGCCCAAGGGCGTGAAAGACAAGAAAATGTTGAGAAACCATAGAAAAGTTCTCATGACCTTCTCTCCTAAAAAACAAACAGATGATGAGGGTTGAGATGCAGAGAAGCTCATAAGCTTGGCCTGAGCTTGGCGTCACCTGGAAGCCTTGCCAGTCCAGTGCAATGTGGCCCCAAAGTCTCTGTCGGGATGAAATGAGGCATGAGAGAAAAGCACCTGAGTGTGGCAGATGGAGATGGACAGTTAAGGTAGTACAAACTCAGATGTCTTTTTTTTATTATTATTAATTTAATCTCATTTGAAAAACTGTCTGAATTCTCGAATTCTTGCTGCCCGCCTGAGAACTTGCTTTATGTAGAGCACTATTGTAAGTCTTTGGAAAAAGAAAAGAATTAGAAAACAGGATCCTTACCCTCAGAACCTAGGGGAAAATAAGGCATTACAAGACAAAGACACAAATCAAAGATTAGAATATGCTTGTAATCATTGACCACACACTCCCCTCACCTACAGCACTTGCCAACTCTAGTCTTTAGCCTCTAAATTGCAAGTGGTTTCGGGGGATTGAATTACTTTATTTATTTATATTTTCGGCAGCACTTGGTCATTGCTGCTGGGTGCGGGCTGTCTCCAGACCTGCAGAGCAGAGTTCTCATTGTGGGGGCCTCTCTCATTGTGCAGCATGTGCTCTGAGGCATGTGGACTTCAGTATGTGCAGAGCACAGGCTCAGAAGTTCTGGCGCACTGGGGGCTCAGTTGCCCCAGGGTGTGTGGGATCCTCCCAGATCAGGGGTCAAACCTGTGTCTCCTGCAATGGCAGGTGGATTCTTAACCACTGGGCCACCAGGGAAGCCCTAAAGTGCAATTGTTTGAAGATGGGTGTCAATCCGTCAGTGCCTGGTCTCACAGCCTAGGGAGTGCCTTGCATATTGTTAAAGGTACTCAGAAATATTTGTTCCATGAATAAAATGTCTTACAAATGAATAAAATGTCTTACAATTTCTAAAAATGCTTATAATGAGTGGATAAAGAAATGTGTTATATACATACAGGGGAATTGTTCGACAACATGGACGGACCTTGATGGAGGGTGTTGTATTCGGTGAGCTGGGCAGACGTTGTACTCGGTGAGGTGGGCAGATGCCGAACCCGGGGTGGAGGGCAGACGCAGGACAGATCCTGTGTGGCCTCACTTGTGTGCAGAATCTCAAGCCGTTGCACTCACAGCAGAGGGGAGAAGAGTGGCAGAGGGGGCTGGAGGAGGAGAGCGGGTGATGTTCAGAGAGCACCATCAGCTGCAGGCACCAAGCTGAACACGCACAAGTCCTGGAAGTCAATATTGAGCCTGGTGCCTGCAGCTGACGGCACTGTGACGCACTCACACTTGGCTGAGATGACTGACTTGTGTTAAGTATTCTTGCCGCAAAGTTACAACAACAATAGTAGTGGCAATAGTAATAATAAAAGGGATGGGAGGAAACTTTGGGAGGTGATGGATGTTTGTGACCTTGATCACGTCCCAGATGATAGTTATCCCCAAACTCAAGTTATACACATTAAGTAGGTACAGCTTTCCACATGTCATTCATACCTCAATATAGCAGTTCACAATTTAAATACATAATTAATTGACTTTTAGAAACCATGCACATGGACATTAGATGAGCTCTGAGGTGGAACTCCTGCCAAGCAAAGGGACAGCGCGTTAAAGGTGAGCAGGACAGACAGGACCAGTCCAGGAAGAAGAAGTCAAGAGCTGTGGGTGAATGCTTGAATTCAGGCTTCAAGGAGACTATTCTGGGATGGAGGGAGACCTGCCTTTTTCCACAGAAGACACAGCACTCAGTCAAGAGGAGCTGGGGGTGATGGAGGTGAGAGACATCAGTGAGGTTCGAGCTTCTGGTTGAAGAGAATAGAATAGGCCACTGGGTCCAAGGTTATGAGGGTGATTGTATCAGGAAGATGAATATCTCTGAAGTATTTGGTCAGGTGATCAGGGTTGATTCAAGAGTACTATGAGGCCAGGAGATGCTGAGAAGCAGGAAAGGAATTCAGTTAGATGCCAGTGGAAGATGAAAGCGATGAAGACAGAGCAGGAGCTCTCTGAAGACCAGACCCGAGCCCATTGTGGCGAAGGGGCTGGTCGGTCTCTGCAGAGGAGCTGAGAGGCCCCGAGACTCAGAAAAGAGAGGGGGCCATTGGATTTCTGCCAGGAGAATGTCCTTGGTGGTTTATTAATAAAAGGAGCTTCTTCATGGTGAAGACCAGAGAACCAAAGGTCAACTGAGAACGTATCAGGAGCAGCAGGCAGCCGGGTCACATCTCTGTGCGATCAGTCACTCAGTGTCCGACTCTGCGACCCGTGGACCGCAGCCCTCCAGGCTCCTCAGTCCGTGGGATTCTCCAGGCAAGAATACTGCAGTGGGTAGCCTTTCCCTCCTCCAGGGGATCTTCCCGACCCAGGGATCGAACCCAAATCTCTATTGTCTCCTGTACTGGCAAGTAGGTTCTTTACCACTAGCGCCACCTGGGAAACCCAGTAAATCTCTGTATTTCCACCCAAATACCCAACGCGTCCAGAAGACCATCCTGGAATTCTGACAGTGGAATTTTACATTTCCCTACCAAGAGCTTCAGTCCAAGCCAGACTTCAAACAACCCAGAAAAACACACCAGCGTGAAGATGCATAACTTGCATCAAAGAAGTTGGAGGAGAAATTTTACAGGAAGAAGGAGGGGAACATGGGGCTGGCATAGACTGAGGGGCTACAGAAACATGAGGGGCAGAAGGTGGCATCAAGTTGGGAGCGTCTGGTGTGTGCGGGCACCACCCCGCCCTCACGGACCGACCTCTGGAGAGCACAGGTGACTGGCCCGGACAGTGACGGGAGAGGAGGCCAACCGTCTCCGACCTGAAGGTCTGTCTGAACCAGGGCTGCTCCTGTGCGGTGGTTTCCATGCTGGTCGCGCCGGGCTCCACTCCCAGGAGGCAGGAGGCTGAGGGCCTCTGTGTCCCGCTCATCTGTTGACGCGGGTGCCCCTCGCACCCCCTGATCTCAAGGGTTCATCCCTAAGGGGAGTCCTAGTACCTACCCCATCCCCACCCGCTCTTTGTGGGCAGCAGGGAAGCAGCGCCGATAGCCCTGTGTGGCAGCTGCAGACCAGAGGCGAGGCTGGCCCCCTGACCCAAACCCTGATCCAAAGGTTCACCTTGCGGAGACCTCTGACCTCCCCACACGGGGAGACCACGTGGGGACAGTCATGGGAGCAGGTCCCTGACCACACGCAGCCCAGCTCCCCACTTCCAGGGTGGGGCTGCATCACAGTTCAGGCTCGGTCTGGGAGAAGAGCCTCCACAGAGCTGCTGCCTCCTCGGGGCACCCCTGCCTTCCCCCCCCCTCCTTCCTGCCACTCCAGCACGTGTCTGCTCAGAGCGGGCCTGGCCTGGGCTTTCCTTCCGGGACCCCGAGCCCTGAAGGAAGTCCCCTTGGGTGGCTCCCATCAGGGCCACCCCAAAGCTGTGCCAGGAAACCTCCTGGAAGGGAAGCGACCAGACCACATTGGGGAGCGTGTCCCTCCTGACCTCCACTGCCCAGCCTGAGCACTCTGGAGACCCACCTTGCCGGAGAGGCTGGGGTCCCCCCACCTCACTGCCCACCAGGGCCTGTCTGCCTGCACGAAGGCTTCTGAGGAGGACTCCACTACTCTTCAGAGGGCAGTCCACCCCAACGGTCCTGGTCCCACATCTGGCTCCCATCCTCCACCCTGAACATGTTCGCCCTCCGAGCCTGAGTCTCGGCACCCCCAGGCCCAGCAGCGCCCCGTCTTCCGCCCGCTGAGCCGGTTCCTCTGATCCCTAGTCCCTCACTGCGAGGTGGCCTTCCTGACCCCCGGTCCTCTTCTCCCAGTTGTGTCCAAAGTGAGTGGTCCTGGGACCCCAGAGACAAGTGGATGGAAATGCAGTTTTCTGGGCCCAGTGGTCAAGTCTTCACCCTGGACCCCAGTGACGCTGGACAGCCAGGATCCTGCCCACACGGTGCAGGGCCCATGGCTTCCCCCACTGAGGCTTTCGCGGGCTTCCTGCTGGGTCTCGAGCCCTCCCTGGCCCTTTCTCCCCAAGTACCCCTTCGCCCGGACGGCACTCTCCCACAGAGTCCCAGCTCGAGCGTCCTTCCCTTCCTGACACGATGCCCTCAAGGTCCAGGTAAAACACCATCTTTGTGGCGCTCAGCTCCCTCAGTGCCACCCCCTTCCTGTTGGCCTGACCAGATTTCCTTGGGGGCAGGCGGGGCCTCGGGGTGCGGGGGCTCCTGCGGGCTGTTCTCCTGGCTTCCTAGGAGCCTGGCCCCAGGGCCCCAAGAATCTCAGAAGATCTCTGCAGAGACCCAAGGTATGACTCCAGCCTGAAAGGGAGAGTAGGGTCCTTACTTCCAATTTTGGGACCCTGCTTCTACAAGTCCTGCCTCCCACAAGAGGGGGACCACAGCAGAATCTTACCGAGAGAGGGGACCTTGCAGTCGCAGGACTGTCCACTGCTGCGAGGGGCGGACCATCCCTGCCCCCGGGGAGGAGGGTGGGACCTGGACAGGTGCTCGGGCCTGGATCACGGGGGCACCTGCTTCTACTTCCCCGAGACCTGGTCACACAGTGAGGGACGCAGGCTGTGGCAAAGCCGGGGCCTGAGGTTCTGTGCTGTAGGTCGAGACGCGCGGACAATAGGACAGAAACCTCGGGATGGACAGATGGAAGGACATGGGTAGGTGCATGGGGCCTCCTCACAAAGGACTGAAGCGTCCACCCACTGAGCCCTGTGTGTGATTTTCAGGGTCTCAAGAATAAGCTTTTTTTTCCTGAGCGTTATCCAGTTAGCTAACAGAAAAAAAACAGCACCGACTGGTTTTCCCATACACACTCATCAACTGGGTGCTTTAATCTGAGAAGCAAAGGAAACAATTAAAGGCTTTGCTGATGGACCCTGAACTTGATTTTCAAAAAGAAGACATTTTGAAGGAATTGGGAAATTCCATTGAACTTTTTTTTAGTAAACTTTTAAGAAGGATTTTTAATTTATAAAGATGGAGGCAGAGAAGAGTGGATTAGGACTTTTGTTATAGATGCTACAAAAAGAAGTCAAGAAATAACAAAAATGTATCCCCCAGAGGGATGACATATTAATTTACAAAATAAAAACTGGTATAAATCACAAACTGGCAAAATGCAAAATGTTATGCCTCCCAAAGATTCTATGCGGGTCGCCCAGAACGAACACCTCAGAGAAAAACCTATAAGAATCCATTCATCACCTGTGACCATCAGGGATGCTGGTGACACTTTCTTCAAGACACAAGCAAAGTGCACGAGCCAAAGAAGTGTGATTAGGATGTGCACAGCACCGCTCCTCTGAGGCCTTACTTCTGTATAAGCTGGTTCCTTTTTACACTAGACAGACAATATCAACCAAAAACAGAACAGAATTAAGTGAGCAGAAAGGAACACTCAAGTTCATGGGTTTATTCAGAGTGCACTGCCTACTGGCTTTGAATGATGATTTTGCAAAGAGTTGAAGCACAACATTTAGAAGAGAAAGGGATTTTCTGAAGGGAGTTTCAAAACAAATTTCAGTTTGAACGGGGTGAAGGACACAGGCTACTTCAGTAACCCATGAGAGTCTCCTGGACTCAGGGTACCTAGGAGGAGCTGCGGGGGTCAGACAGGTTCCCAGAGCGCTGGGGGACCACACACAGCAGAGGGGACAGAAGGGGGGACAGCCGGACACTGACGGAGTCAGCAGGGGGAGGGCGCACGCCCCCTGGAGACCTCGGCCCTTTCTGCAGAGCCGTCCCGGCTGCTGACGCCGGGGCCATGGCAGGGTAAGCCTTATGAAGGACAACCACCACAAGCTCTCGAGAAAGCTGGACGCTTCTCCATGTCCGGCACGCCCCTGTCACTCCCCAGGGGCCATGAGCACCCTGCTTGCCTTGTCTCCCTGGCCACACAGACCATTCAGACCTTTGAAGGCTGCAAGTCCAGCACCTGGACGGGACTCTGGGAGGCGCCTCTGGCCAGCCCTCTGCTCCCGCCACGGTCTCTGGACAAAGGCGAGCCAGGCAGCATGTGCTTTGACATGGGAGGCACATGAGGGCAGGAGGACACCAGAGCGGTGGGCAGCTTTGTCCCTCAGGACCAGCGAGCTGGGGGATGGGCGCGTTGGGGCCAGTTCCTGGGGGCCTCGCAGAAAGGCCGCTGATGGCTCAGAGGCCAGGGGGCTGCGGCAAGCTGCGTGGCCTCACGGACCAGCAGGTCCTGTTGACATCAGTGCCCCGACCCCACTCACGAGTGTCCACCTCTCAGATGGAGTCCTAACACCTGTCTCACTTCCCCACTGGCAGGTGGACGGGGAACGCTGCCACCCTGCCACACCCGGAGCTCGGAAGGGGCAGAGCAGTGTGGTCTGTGGGGTCCTGTTGCGCATCTTCTGAGGGGAGACCGAGGCCTGGCTCCACTCAGAGCCCAGAATCCACACTGCACTTCCCAGGGCATCTGCTCCCACAGCCCAGGGGCGGGGTGGGCTCAGTTGGTGACCTGCGTCCTCAGATGGGGTCGGACTGGGCCCCTCACACTTCTGAAACAGGGTGAAACATTTGCGTTCATAAATGAAGACCTTAGAACATTAAAAAGAAAATACACTCAGATTTTTTAAGCTAAACATATGTGGAGAGTAGTTGAAAGAAACTTTTTTAGTATCCAAATTAAGGTTAGCAACTCATGCTAAAATCAGTTAATGCGTACAAAGCCTCTAAACAGCTGCACGTCAGAGGCTGTCTAAAGCCTAAAGCACAGAGCAAACAGGAGCCAACTATCTCCAGGGTGACCTGGACGAGGCTGCTTCCCAGCCGGGGGCGCCCCCAGATCCTGGCCCCGCTGCCAGCCCCCCCCGAGTTCCCACACCGTCGCCCTCGGTTCCCCTGCTAGGACCTCAGGGAGGGGCGCCAGCCCTCCACCAGATGCAGGGGAACCGGCCTGGCACAGCCCGCAGGGCACCGGTGAGGGTGAGGGGCGTGCGGGGTCCCTGAGCGCAGCCCGTGGGGGGTGCACAGGTGAGGGGGAGGGGCGTGCGGGGTCCCTGAGAGGAGCCCGTGGTGGGGGGCACAGGTGAGGATGAGGGGTGTGCGGGGTCCCTGAGAGGAGCCCGTGGTGGGGGGCACAGGTGAGGATGAGGGATGTGCGGGGTCCCTGAGCACAGCCCATGGGGGCACAGGTGAGGATGAGGGGGCATGTGGGGCCCCTGAGGAGAGCCCATGGGGGGCACTGGTGAGGGTGAGGGGCGTGCGGGGTCCCTGAGAGGAGCCTGTGGTGGGGGGCACAGGTGAGGATGAGGGGCATGCAGGGTCCCTGAGCGGAGCCCAACCACCAGCCTGTCCTGGATGCTCTGAGCAGGCAGGAGCGCCCCTTCCTACCGATGCTACTGCTCCCCTATTGGGAATCGATGCAGACAACATCCACCCCTCAGACTCAGCCCCGTTGCTCCTCCAGGCTGGTCACTGGGGTCAGGTTCCTAGACAGCCTGCCCAGGGTGAGGAGGACCCCAGCCCTGCCTGGCGGAGGCAGTGGCAGGATGTAGGCCAGTGCTCCTGGATGGGCTCTGAGGTCACCAGGCGTCTGGTGCGGGGACCTTCAACTAAGACAGATGGGACTGAACCCCCAGCAAGGCCCCAGAGATGCCAGCCGGCCACGTGCGGGAAGGAGGCGAGAGCGACAGCCCCACCCAGGGGGCGGCGGTGGGAGCAGGGCAGGACCTGCAGGCACAGTCTTCACCACTGGCTGCCCAGGCGGCTCAGGGGGCCAGGGTGAGGGTAACCAGGGGGAGCAGGGTGATCACTCCCAGAGACCGTGTCGGGGAGGTGTGCTCCCAGAGTCCTCTCCACCCCGAAACCTGCTGCCTCCACCCCCAATCTCTGGGCCTGGAAACGCCTCATTTCAGCTCCAGCTCTCTGCATCCAGCCACTTGCTGCCCTCCTCTGACTGCCCTCCATGCACCCTGGACCGAGAGCCCCTGCTCTCTCTGGGCCCCTGGGTTCCTGCCTCACCCAGGCCCTCTTGCTTTCCATGGAGAGTCCTCATCTCCCACCAAGGGTGCAGGGGCTGTGGTGAGACGATGCTCAGAGAACCAGCACCATCTCTACGTTGTGTGAGCAGGAACGTCTGGGTGCATGCAGCTTGCTTGGCCTGAATTCTCAGAGTGAAGATGACCACGTGTGAATAAGAGGCAGCCTGAGTGGTTCCAAGCCCCTGGGACTGGGGGTACTGGGTGCCGGGGAAGAGCCCCCGGCAGGACCCGCAAGGCTCAGGAGTGACACTTCTTATGTGTCAAGTGACAGCCTGCCCCACAGGGTCCAGCTGGAAGGGGTAAGCTTGAGAATAACTCAGCTGCAAACAGGAGGAACTGGCTTTTCACCTAGTGCTTCAACTTTCATAAAGTTGCCCAAAGTCTTTGCAAACCATTTGCCTTTTCATTCGTTTGGTGAAGGGAGCTGGCAGAATCACACAGTTCCTTGTTCAAGCCACGTCACTGCTGAGGTAGAGTCAGGAAGACACGTCACAGGAGGCTTCTCAGAATACTGGCAAGAAGAGGAGACAAAAGGGAACAGCTGTTTATACAGTCTTTGATTCTGTGACTTTCTGTCACATAATTGATTAAAATCACAAACCCAGTTTCCTATGTGCCTGGCAGGAGATTGTTCTCTGTGCCTGTGGACAACAGGGTCCCCAGCCAGGCCTGGGCTCTGGGGATGCTCCAGGCTGTTCTGTTTCATTGAAGAAGCTCAGGCCACTAAATTAAGTGGAAAAGTGTATACAGTCCTGCATGATAAAAGACCAGCTTCAGGGGTACTGTTGATATTGCCAAGTGATTCGTCACATTAGAAAGTCCAGCTCAGTTCCTTTAGACTGGGTGTGTGGTGGCGACAGCGTTTAAGGTTCATGTCTTTTCCATCCAAAGTGTTCCATCGCAACTCCTGTCCTGTGCAAATGGTTGATGAGGTTAGACTTCCCAGAGGATGAAATATTCGTGAGCAGGATGCTCTGAGTGTGGAACAGAGCTGTACAGAGAAGAATGAAGTGGAGACCAGAGGTTAGGTCAGTGGCTTGAAGAAAAGGCAGTTTTTCTTACTCTGAACTCACTGTAAACTGGAAGGCCACTGGTTCTAAGCGCAGAGGAGGAAATGCTGTTCAGGGTTTGGAGAAGTTTCTCTGGTCCCTGCACCCAGCCTCTGCAGCAGCGGGAGGGCTGCCTCTCCTCTCTCACTGGAGGGGGGCCTGGTTGCCCTGGGAGTGCTGCCTGCCGCAGACAGACCCGCCTCGGAGCCGTCTCCACCGCAGCCGAGGCCCTGCAGGCTGTGAGGATGGACGTGGCCGAGCAGAGACTCGGGGGGTCTCGGCGGGCCATCTCTCTCTCCTCACCTGGGCATGGCCTGGGTGCTGCCTGCCCTGCCCCCGGGGCAGCGTCAGCTGGAGATCAAATGAGAAAAAGTCTATGTGGTTTCCCTGGATGTTGACGCATAAGTGACCAGAGTCTCAACGGGTTGAACACGGCGTGTGCCAGGTCTGGGTCCCCTCAGGACTCTGGGAGACAGGAAAGCCACGTGCACCACTGACCTCGGAAGGGGAAACCTCAGTCAGTTCAGACCTCAGGAGTCTGAGCCAGGGCCGCTGCCTCCGCGCCCGAGCGTTGAGCTGTTAATGTCACCACATAGTAACATTACTGTCTAAAGAATCCAGCCCCATGCCGTCACAGAGCACCGCGACACCTTACTGTCTACTTCACAGTCAGTCTGCTATTCAAATGCTGTAACACGCGCACAGCATCACCAGAGGGTCAGAACGTGCTGTGTGGGGTACACTAGAGGTCTTATTTGTGCTACTGCAGTAGAGTACACTGCATGTTACTGTACTACCACACAGCGTATATTACCAGTCAGTTCAGTTCAGTTGCTCAGCCGTGTCCAACTCTTTGTGACCCCATGGACTGCATCATGCCAGGCTTCCCTGTCCATCACCAACTCAGGGGCTTCCCTGATAGCTTAGTTGGTAAAGAATCTGCCAGGTAAAGGAGACCCTGGTTCAATTCCTGGGTTGGGAAGATCCCCTGGAGAAGGGAAAGACTACTCACTCCAATATTCTGGCCTTGAGAATTCCATGGCTTACTATATATTACTAATAATACAATAATAACATAAAAATACTGTCATATAGGATGCCATGGTCAAAGGTAATAATTAGCAATGCATATACAAACAGCCAAAGAGTGTTAGAGGAGATATTTATCTTAAATTAACTACATCATAACAACCAAACATTTTTAATATTTTCCTGGATTTTTATAAGTTCCTAAAACCACTACCCTATAGACATTTTCAGTGACAGACATAGTTGCACTGTTTTTATTTTTCACTTTTTCAGTTGCTCTGTTTTTAATATATTGTCGCTCCCTGCTTGGGCTTCCCCGGTGGCTCAGTGGTAAAGAATCCACCGGCCGTGCAGCAGATGTGGGTTCCATCCCCAAGGAGACCCCCTGGAGAGGGAAATGGCAACTCACTCCAGTATTCTTGCCTGGAGAATCCCATGGACGGAGGAGCCTGGCGGGCTATAGTCCACGGGGTCACAAAGAGTCAGGCACGACTGAACAACTAAACAACAGTTCCTCCTTTCTTGAAAAATAAATTAGTGAGAAAATAGTTCTATCCAAAACAAGATTTTTTTTTGTATCTAGTATGGGGTTTTTCTAAAATACTTTTCTTGCATGTGAATGTATGATTTTAAAAGATTGATTTCTAAATTACTGAATTTAGGTAAATTCAACTTTTCTTATGGTTTCTTTATGATAAATGTGAAGTGAAAATTGAGCTCCTGTGTTCAGACTGGGCTCTGTCTACCACAGCACTTGGCCATCTGGACAAGTGGCCGAAATAAACAACCTCCTCACAGAACTCTCTGATGGGCTCTGTTTTGGATACACGTTCAACTAACTGATTTCCTACTTGATTTCACCTGTTTACAGGTTGTGCCATTTGAAGGTCTTCTCTGAGGGGCATTCTGAGCTCCTCCAGTGTGTGGGGGAGGGTCAGTCTAAACCTTCTGTCCCTTCTGCTTGAACCGTGACTAAGATGGAAAACTCTGCAGTGAGCAGCTAGGTGGCAAGGCCAAGCCCTCCCTCCCCACCTCCTGGGGCAGTGAGGACTTCGAGAGTTCAGTGATTAAAACACACACGATTCTCTGTATCCACCTCATCATAACAGAGAAAATACCACTTCTGGTAGATCAATATGACAAATGAGTAAACCAGAAGATGGCGTTGAAGGTTTGCAATCACATTTTAAAACAAGGCGAAGTGGTTTTCAACGTCTGAAAGTGCATGAGTGAGGGGAACGGTGAGACAACTAAGTCCGGGCAGAGGACATGTGTGTGAAAGCGCAGAAAGCTCTAGTTGTGGCTGTCTTTGTTCTCAGCAATCCCCCTTCTGCTGCTGGTGAGCACGCTGGGGAAAGCAATCCGCTGACTAAAGTGCAAGGCAGCTGGGAGGCAGCCACGTCCACTTTGTTGGCTGAGGTATCCAAGTGCTGAGCTCAGCTCCTGACAGGTAGAGGGGGCCCCAAAAATATCTGTTGAATGAATGAATCCATGAAAGAAGAAAGGAAGGAAAACCGCTGTGACCAGAATTTTCTTTGAAAAATACCCTGTTGTTTACTACATAGACTCTGATAGTGGAAAACTTACTTGAGTGAATAAAAACATAGCATCCTGTTAATTTCTGAGAAAGTCGTTGGTTTGAGGAAAAGCTTACCCACTCTGCACCTCGTGGCTGTTTTGCTCTAGGCCGAGCTTGGTTGTTTCTTTGGGTGGGAGACAGTGGCCCAACATTTAAAAGAAAAACTGAGAAATAAGTGAAATCAAAAGCTTTTCAAAAGTTGCGAGTTGACCTAGGGTGGTGGTGGTCTAAAATCATATAGAAACCAGTGATCTGACGGTTTACCTGAAATCGGTAACTACACAAACATGCTGAAGCATTCAAGATGCTGGGGGCGGGGGGGTCGTTAGATCTTGGAACATTAAGTAAAATCCCTCTGTTTAAATATTGCTCTTATTCTGGCCATTTAAACCCCCACTTGTAAATTGTTTCTCCCACGTTGCGGTTAAAACTATGCCACTGCGAGGAGGACTTGGACGCTTCTTCCAGTTCTTTCCTGCGGCCACAACTAAAGCTCTGGGGGTGCTGTCTCAAGTCACTGAAGTCCTCCAGTTGTGCCGACCAGCAGGATGCGAGCATTTCAAGCGCAGACAGCGTGTGAGCGCAGTTTATAGCTCAAGGTATCTGGGCCATTTCCTTTTTTCTTTTCAATGAGTGTGATGTTCTCTAAACACGGCGGAGGAGCGGGGCTCCCGGTGACAGTCAAGGGTGCCCCCCACCCACCCACGGTCGTTCGACACGGACAGTCCTCTGTCTTTGGTTACGAACTCTGCAAGCCCAGTCTCCTTCGCACCAGATTCCCGCTCCTGCACGCCCCCACTTCCCGCCCTGACAGCGCCGGCATAGCTGAGCTACTGCTCAGCGGTCCCCGCGCGGAGGCGAGGTCCCCTCGCGCCTTGCCCTCGGCAGGAAACCGCCCGAGTGAGGTTCCCCTGGCCCGTGCGCCCGACTCGAGATGCGTCCCCAGCGCCGCCCGGCCCCGCGCCCCCGGCTCTCCGTCCGCAGCCCGCTACCCCATCCCGCGCACCCAGCTCCCTGCCCAGAGCCCCCTGACCAGCCCTGCGCCCCAGCTGGGAGCTGGCGCTCTGCCAGCCCGGGTTCCGACCCGGCCTCGCGCCCCGGGCTCTGCGTCCGCAGCCCCTAGCCCAGCTTCGGCCCCGCGGCCCCGGCTCTCCGTTCGCAGACCCCGCCGCACCCCGCGCGCCCGGCTCTTTGCCCGGAACCCCCAGACCAGCCCCGCGCGCCCAGCTCCGCGCGCCCAGCTCGACGCCCTCAGCCCCCACCCTGCCAGGAGGCGCCCCGGTTGGCCCCGCCCCGCGTAGGCCCCGCCCCAAGCGCGGCTTTTAAGCTTTATAAAGTTCCTCTTTCCTACCTCGGAGGCTTAGTTTCACTGCTTGGACTTGGGACTCACCGCTGCCCTCAGCTCGAGTCGGGGCGAGGTAAGACTTGGGTCGGGAAGTACCAGGGCTGCGAGGCGGGTACCGCAGAAACCCGTCCGGGGCCCACCTCGGGGCAGCGCAGGGCACCCCAGCGTCGGCACCGGGAGGGAGCACGCCCCTCGAGGGAGCCCCGACGCCCACCCCATCTGCTCTTGGCCGGGGAGTCCCGCGGCCCCAGCGTCCGTGGGTCGGCCGAGCGCGGGCCCTGGGAGGCCACGCGCGGGACCGGGTGTGATAACGAGGTCGTCGGGCCATCAGCGGCCGAGGGGGTCGTCGAAGGGACCCACACCGGGCGGCAGACTTAACCGCGGGGGACAGACCCTTCCTCCCGAGGCTGTTTCTGTTGCTTCTCGCTCTTGAGGGGCTCAAACTTACCTCAGCCCCCGGCTCGCGGCTTCCCGACCGGTGGTGGAAGAGAAGGCGCTCCAAATTCAGGCCACTAGGGGCCCCGCGCTCCGCGACCCCCGTCTTCCCGGCACCTTCCCGCCCCCGCTCCCCCCGCCGGCCTCCCCGCCCGGCTGATGCTCGGCGCGCGGGGATCCCCCACGACGAGGCTGCGCTTGCCGCCTGAGGCCAGGTCCCTCTGTCGCATGTGGCTCCCGGGCCACCTGGTCGTTGCTACCTGCCTGGGGCTCCGGGGCATTCTTGGGGCAAAGAGTGCAGGTTTCAGGGAGAGCCGCGGGAGAGCTGCCGCCACCGCGCACCTGGAAGGCCAGGCCACAGGGGAGTCCGCGAAACACGCGGGGCCACTGGGGAGTGCGGACTCGGGAGAGGGCGCAAGCGGAAACTGGCCGTGGCAGGAGAAATGGACTGTCCACGGCTCAGGCCTGGGCAGGGTAGCGGGAATACGAGTGGGCAAACGGAGGGCCACGCGTGGTGGCAGCTGGATTTCGGAGGTGCGCGAAGATCAGAGCCCTGAGTCTGGGCAGCGCGCGGGCCGCGGGGGAAAACGCGAATGGAGCGTTCAGAAGGTGAGGTCGTGGACGGGCTCGGAGAGGCGGCAGGACGGCGCGCCAAGGGCACGCACGAGCCGGGGCGGCTGAGAAGGGCCTTCTCTCGGGTCTTCGGAGTCACAGACTCAGCGGCGCGCCCTCGCCGCCTCCGAGACTCCGCGGCCTCGTGGTCATTGCCGGAGGACCGCCTCCTCTCTCCGCAGCGCAGAGCGAGTGCTGGAGCGGAGCCTGGGTTGCGAAGGGACAGCATCGGCGCGCGGGGCATGAACCTGGAGGGCGGCAGCCGAGGCGGCGAGTTCGGCATGAGCTCCGTGAGCTGCGGCAACGGGAAGCTCCGCCAGTGGCTCATCGACCAGATCGACAGCGGCAAGTACCCGGGGCTGGTGTGGGAGAACGAGGAGAAGAGCATCTTCCGCATCCCCTGGAAGCACGCGGGCAAGCAGGACTACAACCGCGAGGAGGACGCCGCCCTCTTCAAGGTACCCGGGGCGGGGCTGGGAGGGGCTGGGCGCCGGGCCTCGTGCGGGAGCGCGGGTGGCCCGCGGCTCCTCCGGGCCACTTCGCAGAGGGCAGACCCGGTGCCACGCCTGAGCGCGTGGGGCGCACGGTCCCCCGGAGTCAGGTGCCCGTCCGCCCTCCCACCAGGTAGAGGGGTGGGCCAAGGCTGCGCCTCTCTGTCCCTGGCGGCCTCTTTCTGGAACTTTGGATACCTCCTCTCCTCCGCGGATCAGCTGTGTCTCTTCCTTGCGCGCGGGCAGGTGTGTGCGCTGCGCCTCTCAGGTCTGGTCTCTGCGCCCCTCCCCACGTTGTCCCGCCCTCACGCCCCCTCTCTGGACAGCGCTCTCCTTTAGGCCTTCGTTGCGCTCTCTCTTCGTGTTTCTCCCTCTGTCTCACTGTCTCTGTGTGACTCCCTCTTCCCGAGTCTCCCTTCCTCTTTCTCCTCTCTCTCCCTCCCAGGGTCTCCTTCGGGCCTCTCTCTGGGGGTTTCTCTTTGCCCTGTGTGTGTGTGTCCCTGTCCTGACCGTTTTCCCCTTGGGCCGTTTACCCAGCGGCCAGTGCTGCAGGGCCCGGCCCCACCACCTGTGGGCAGAGCGTGGATGGGGACTTCCTCAGGGAACTCGCCCGAAGAGTACCTCAGGCTCTCTGACGTCCAGAGGTGCCCTGTGGTGGCCCCTCAGCCCACAGCTCTGTCCTTGCTTCCAGCCTAACTGCTTCATTGGGTGGGTGAGCCTTTGTGGGGGTCCTCCAATCTCACCCATCTTCTATAAACACCTGGTGTCTTTCTGGCCCACATTCCTGTGACTCTGCAGCCCCCCCCCCCCCCGCCCCACACCATTCTTTCCTTTAGAAATACAATTTCCAGATTCATTTTTGAAAGACCTACATTTTAACTTTTCCCTGCTTCTTTCCCACCAGGCTTGGGCACTGTTTAAAGGGAAGTTTCGAGAAGGCATCGACAAACCAGACCCTCCCACCTGGAAGACACGCCTGCGATGTGCTCTGAACAAGAGCAATGACTTTGAGGAGCTGGTGGAGCGGAGCCAGCTGGACATCTCGGACCCCTACAAAGTGTATCGGATTGTCCCCGAGGGAGCCAAGAAAGGTGGGCTTCCCGGGCTGGGGCTGCCTGCACTCACACCTCACGCTCACTGTCAGAGTCTGGTTTTTTGTTTGCTGCTTTTGTAGCCTGCTTGCCTCGGCCTCCCATTCAAGCCTAGCAGGTGGTTTTCCCAGCTTCTCTGGGTCACAAATTGAAGTTCTCCTGGTGTTAGTGCAGGATAATTTCTCAGACTCCTGGTCTCTTCCTGTGTATGTGCATATGTGTGTGTTTTCTAGTTAGTTCTCCTAAGATATGGGCCAGATTTCCAAGCCAAAAATGGAAAAGCTGTTTGAAGCTTTACTTACTCATCTGTTTCTTGTGATTAGCCATTTTGCAGAAGGGAAGGTTCATGATCTACATATCGTTACCATTTGTAGTAAGAGAAGTGTCAACATTTAAACTTTGCCATGGTCAACTGGGCTGCTTGTTAAAACTAAAGTTCCCACTTTCCAAGATTCTGACCCAGAGCAGAGCCCAGTTTAAACAAACCACAGGTGACCTCACTAGATGGACATCTGCTGGGGGAGCTCATGCCACGAGGCCCATCACCCTCGGGCTTCTCTACTTGTGCTCCCTTTATGGGACCTTGTAGGAACCAGTTTAATGGACTGGACAAATAATTGCCCAAGGGAATTGCAGAAAAATGCCTTATTTGTCAACACTGTGCTATGCATTCTAGGAATTAGACGCTCAGGTATTTTTCTAAGATTTGACATTTCATCCTGTCAGTTCCTTTTTCACACTGCGTTTCCCTTTTCCCCAAACCCCCAGGAGCAAAGCAGCTGACCCTGGAGGACCCGCAGCTGCCCATGAGCCACCCGTACGGCATGCCGGCTCCTTACTCCTCGCTGCCTGCTCAGGTATGGGAGGGGCAGGGCTTCGAGCAAGGGAGTCGGGGCCTATGAGAGGCAGTTGGGCCAGATCCCATGTGGCGGGAGAGACCTGCAAACAGAAGCAAGCAGAACTCCGTTTTTGCTGTTTGTCAAACTGCCAAGCCACATCCCAGGTTGCTGGATGAGTGTTTCAGTTTCCACCTGGTGTTGCTGGTTTGAAGCGAGGGAGATGAGGGTGGGTGTATCTGCTTGCTGGTTAGATTTCCCCACTGACTCTGAGGTCTTCTGGGAAACAGACCTTTTGTGGAAGCCAAAGATTTTGGAAGCAGGGCTTTATCATGTGAAACCACAGGGCAGCTGACCTCGTTGGACTTCTCCGATGTGAATTCCAGCTCTGTTTTATTCACTTTGCTGGAAGGGAGGTAGAGCCCCCAGCAGGGCTCTTGGTTTAACCATATGATGAAGCCTCACATAAAGCGTCGCTTTACAGCGCTGTCTCGTTTGTGCTTTGGATTCTTTGTGGCGAGTTTCCACCACGACTTTTCTGATGATAAGAGGATTTGGCCGCCTGCCACACGAGTGGTCCCTGAGGAGTCTGGGGGGGCTCCCCCAGGCTGACCCCTAGCTGGCCGCTCTCCACCCCAGCCCCCCTCTGGTTCCTCCAGCAGGTTCACAACTACATGATCCCGCCCCACGACCGGGGCTGGAGGGAGTTCGTCCCCGACCAGCCGCACGCAGAGATCCCATATCAGTGTCCCGTGACCTTCGGACCCCGCGGCCACCACTGGCAAGGCCCAGCCTGTGAAAATGGTAAGGGCAGTGCCTGTGGCCAGAGGGCCTGGCCCCTCCTGGCCTGACCTCCGGGCAGTCCCGTGGCTCTCTGCCTGCTCGGAGCTGCCAGGGAAGGCCCCGCCAGGCTCCAGGAAGCTGCCCTGCTTTTCACAGAATGTAAGCAGTGTGCCCACAGCTGCCCAGTGAGGCTGAGGGCTGGGGTCCACCTCCAAGTCTCCTGACCCCAGAGCCCAGCCACACAGGACAGGGAACATCAGAATTCAGACTGGCCGACTTTACGCTTAATAAGCTAACATGTTTCTCCCTCCTTGATTAATCTTAAATTTTATTTTTAACCTTGGGCAAGAAGTAGTTGATTTTGTTAGTGTTCCCAGAGAAGGCTGGACCATCCCTTAATCCTGACTGTCTCTGTCTATACATCTGCAAAGCTGGCATCCCATAGCTGTGGCCTAGCCCCCCTGCACCCACCTCAGCCCACAGGGACCCCAGGGGAGTTTTGTGCTGGTAGATTTCTCTTAAGCAGTGGTGTGTCCAGGCAGTCGTTCCTGGGATTAGAGGTGATGGTAAGAAGAGGATGTGTAAATACTGTGAAGGAAGCACAGAAGGTCTCCACAGAAGGGGGCCTGGTGGGTGCTGCTCTTGGACTGAATGACGTGGTCCCCGGAGGCCTTCACCAGCCCTCAGAATGAGACCTCTCTCAGAGATCTAGTTTGCTAAGTGCAGAGAAGGTTTCACACAGTGTGTTCAGTGCATCAAAGTACAAGCTGTAAGGACCTGTGAGTTAATTGTTTACATAGAAATCCTGAGCCCCGTCAACACCTAGATGTTTTGAATGTTCTAGGAGTATTGGCTCCTTTTTCCAGTCATGTCCAGCTCACTCTTGGCTTATGGAATTGAAGAAGTAGCCTATTATTTAAGATTGGTTTTGAGTGACATATTTTTTTAAAAAATCACAAAATTTGGTTTTATTAGCTTTTTAAGAGTGATTTGCAGCGAAAGCTGGTTTTCCATATTGTGGTGGGAGAGTCAGCTGATGCTGGACAGGCTCCTGCAGTTCAGACCTGGGTCTGGTGCATCAGCTCTGCTGAACTAGTGACCCTGGTGCAAAGGGTAGGCTGGCGGACAGATCTTGACACATAAGTGACATTACGTGATGTGCCAGCCAGCTGAGGTTCTAGCACACGCTCTGTGTTAACGTCTCACGCAACACAGCTACTGTGCTGGCTGGAGCCGTGGTTCCCTTTCCTCCTGAACCCAGAAGCAGTAACTAATGAACCGGGCCTATCAACATGTAGGGTTTTGGTCTGGCTCTTGGAGGTTGGAACTCATGTAGAGACCTGGGCTCAGCTCTGCTGTGAGCTCTCTGTGTGCATGTGGTGAATCACACAGCCTCTGAACTCAGTCACCCTGCCCATCAGCTGTGCAGGGACAGTGCACAGCCTTCCAGTTATGAGACGAGTAGACGCTGGGGCTGAGCCTGGCACGCACAGTGAACGCTGCACTGGGGCCTGGAAAGTGACCAGGACAGCAGGTCTCAAACGTTCTCAGCAGACACACACACACAGGTGACTCTGAGGCGCTGGAGGTGTTAATGACAAAAAAGAAGGGAAGGAAGGAAAGGAGAGAGGAAGAAGATTGTAGAGGCGATGCCAGGTTTCCTTCCAGCTGTGAAGAGGCTCATCCCTCTTCAGCCTTGGTTTTTCAGTAGGACCTCAGACTCCTTGCCTCTCGGGAGGGGGTGTGTGCAGGGTGGGCAGTGTTGCTCCGGAGGGCCCAGGCCCTTCCCTCCCAGCCTGGTGCACCCCTGGGGCTGACGGGCCACCCTCAGACAGAGGCATCTTCCCTCTGCTTCCGAGGGACTCTGTTAGACGGCATCTGATTTTTATTTGCAAATGCAGGTTGCCAGGTCACAGGAACCTTTTATGCTTGTGCCCCGCCTGAGTCCCAGGCCCCCGGGATCCCCATAGAGCCAAGCATAAGGTCTGCCGAAGCCTTGGCCCTCTCAGGTGAGTGGGGGCCCCCTAGAGGCGGCATCTGCGAGGGTCTTCTCACCTTGGGTGGATTTGAGGGGTCTGGAGTGGGTAGAAGAGTTAGCATCAGGGGCCGGCTTCCCAGCCTGATCCACTTCTCCAGGTGGATCTGAGCTGTGTCAGCTCTCCAGGAATGTGCAGGTGCCCCAGTTCTGTTTGCCAAGGGCCCCCTTCAGCCAGCTTCTCAAACCATGCTGCCGGGGCTCCTCATGGTCCTTGCAGGCTTATCTGCAAACAGGTGGCCCATCGGCATCCCAGGACGTTGGTTCTGGGTTCTTTCTCCTCATCACATACAGTGCCTCTCAACCAGCATCTTGCTCTTTCTTTGAGCGTGGTGTGTCTCACAAACAAATCCAGATCAGATCTGGTCTTTAGAGTTTCATCTCTAAAAGAGGCCCGGATCACAGCCATCTCACCTGTTTTAAGGAAGACACCTTGAGGTGTACTAAGCGTGTGTGATATATGCATATTTATCTTTTAGATAGTGTTTTGATTGTTTTAAAATGAGATTTGCATATGTTAAAAATGAAAAGTTTATGCTTTGGAATTCTCACCCTGCCCCCTGCCCTCTTTGAAAATCAGCGACAGGAAACATAAGCTGGATTCTCCAGGTTTCAGGAGAGCACAGCTGGGGCCCTTCCTTGCTCTTTCTGGTTCTGAGGTTCTAAAGGAGGCTTCCTGCCTTTCTCAGATGCTCGTGGATGGTGGAGGGAGCAGAGGTGTCTGAGCAGAAAGGCCTGTGTTGTTTTTAGAAACTTTCAAACCCTTTTCTTAAGCAGCTAGGACTTGAGTGTATGCCTAGAGAGTAGGAAATAAACAGCTATTTATATCCCTGTGACCTCGTGATTTCTGATGACGTTCAATGAAATGAAACCCCGAGTGGCCGACACCCACTCCTCGGGGTTCACAGCGGCAGGAGCGGCAGAGGCGGCTGGAGGCAATAATGTGGGTTGTCTGAGTCTCAAAACCTACTTTTGAGGAATGAGAGGCTTTTGTGGGTTTCTTTGGGTGCACTCAGTACAGATTACCATCCTGGCCGTTTATCCAAGGTCGGCCACCCGCTCAGGCTTGAACCCCACGCAGTTGCCCCTGGTACTTCAAGTCCAGGGCCCTCGGCAAACCAGGTTGGTCCTTTCAGCCCATCGGTCAGATTTTAGAGAAGGTTCTAAAATCAGCAAAACTTCAGAAATGAGCTCATATTGTTTAGTTTTGGAGAAAGCACGACTCTAGAGCCATCCTCAGACTCAAACATAAACCAAGGTGTGTTTCAGCTGACTTTACGCTTGGGCTGTTTCCTTCATGAGGGTAATTTTACAATAAGAGTAGAACACACACAGTGGGAAAATAAGTTAAAAATCAGTAAAGCAAAAATGTGAAATAAAAACATTATAGTCCCACTCAGAGCTCACCAGTGTTAAGGATTGTTCTTCCCCAAACTTCAATGTGCTTCTGTATGTATGATTTTCTTTTCCTAAATGACATCATACTGATGTTTTTAGTGTAGTTTTGGATGTGTGGACATATTTGCCTTTTTTCTGAAAGACCATTGTACTTTTTTGCTAATAAGAATTATTTAAGGTAGGATTCGGAGAAGGCAATGGCAACTCACTCCAGCACTCTTGCCTGGAAAATCCCATGGATGGAGGAGCCTGGAGGACTGCAGTCCATGAGGTCACGAAGAGTCGGACACGACTGAGCGACCTCACTTTCACCTTTCACTTTCATGCACTGGAGAAGGAAATGGCAACCCACTCCAGTGTTCTTGCCTGGAGAATCCCAGGGACGGCGGAGCCTGGTGGGCTTCCGTCTATGGGGTCCCACAGTCGGACATGACTGAAGCGACTTAGCAGCAGCAAGGTAGGGTTTACTTCTTCCAAATTCAAAACTGATGGCCATGCTTAAAATGAGCTTTTGCTTGGTGGCACATGACTTGGTGTGTTAGACATAAATGCTGTCATCACCACTACTGAGCTCTCCCCTACATTCTGTGTGTCACATATTTGGAAAAATGCTGGGTTAGAGAGCGTCACAGACTGACGCAGAAGTCCTTCACCATTGGGCAGGCTCAGGCTCAGAGAGGGTCGTAGGCCTTGCAGTGTCTGCCCCCAGACCCCTTGGTACAGGCGTCCCACCAACGATGCTCTTCTAGAGCAATTGCCTGGCCCCTTGCTGAGTACCAGTTCCGGGCTCCTGGCAGTGAGCCTGCACTGACCGCCAGCGCTGTGCTTGCAGACTGCCGGCTCCACATCTGCCTCTACTACCGGGAAGTCCTGGTCAAAGAGCTGACCACATCCAGCCCCGAGGGCTGCCGGATCTCCCACGGCCACACCTTCGATGCCAGCAGCCTGGACCAGGTCCTCTTTCCCTACCCGGAGGACAACAGCCAGAGGAAGAACATCGAGAAGCTGCTGAGCCACTTGGAGAGGGGCGTGGTGCTCTGGATGGCCCCTGACGGGCTTTATGCCAAGAGACTGTGCCAGAGCAGGATCTACTGGGACGGGCCCCTGGCACTGTGCAGCGACCGGCCCAACAAACTAGAGAGAGACCAGACCTGCAAGCTGTTTGACACGCAGCAGTTCCTATCAGGTGAGGTGGAGAGGCTCGGCCGGAATGGGGCGCCTGTGCAAGCCAGGCCTGGGAGCGTGGAGCTGGTGATGGTTGGTGTGCCCCCCACAAGGGTCATGGCGGCAGGTTGCTCAGCAGGGCTTCCTTTTGTGCGGCCCTGCGCCCACCAGGCTCGACCCCAGAGTAGGTCTCCTGTTGGTTCACCTGTCACCCCATCTGCGGGAGCCTGTGAAGCACAGGAGATTGTCCCGGACCTGTGGTTCAGGCTGAGGTCTTAAAATTTTAGGATGTACGTACTTCTCACCAGCCAATAAGGCTCCTGTTTTACTGGCACAAGTGGTCTCAGCAAGCATATCTGCTGATGTTTCAGCTCTTTTACGATTCCTAGAAAAATTGTAAGGTTAAAGGTATGTTGTTAACGTTTGTGGTTGTGAGATGTGTCACCCTCAGCAGATGTCTCCCAGCAGGTGGGACCCCAGTAAGTGTGCTGAACTGATTTTGCAGAGGGGAAATTATGAGTTGTTTCTAGATTTCAAATCACATTTTCCAGAGTCACCAGGTTTTGTTTTCCTAGTATTGATTTCGTGGCAAGTAAATCAGGCCTGGGCTGGCTTTTACGAGTCCTGCGGCCACCTTGTGGGGCATGTCCATCCCCAGGGTCCGTTTGGCTGTCACCATCACCAGACCTCTTCTGGACAGAGAGCTGGTTCTCCCTCACCCTTAGCTCTTTTTGTATAAGCCCCTCCTTCAGAAACAGCCTGTGTCTGGGCTTTCACGGGCCGCCCCTTCCCCGAAGCTGCCTCTTGATTCAGCCCACCTGGAGCACAAAGCCTGTGCAGCCCACCAGCAGAGACTGTGCTCAGCTCCGGGGTCCGTGGCTCACGTTTGCTGAGGCTGCTCTAGATTCTCTTTCGTTGCCCAAGCAAACATGTCCCTGGTGACTCACCCTCCCCCAGAGGCAAACTGGCAGGAGGAGGGAGAGCTAGCCTCTGGTCCCTGGCAGCAGCCCCTGCCTGACCCAGGGGGTCATCTGTCCTGGGCCCAGTGTGTGGACCGCCTGCCGCAGAGCTTGAGGAGCCGAGAGCCTGAGGTCCGGGGCCAAGTCCGAAAGAGCCTGGCTCTGGGTCTCCTCAAGGGGACGGGTCTTGGATTGAGAAGGGTCACTGCGGGTGGGAGAGGCTTCATCCTGGAGAAGGGGCCCTCGCTTCTTGGGGTGTCTCTGGCCCCGCAGCTGTAGGAACAGAGCTCTGCTGGACATGGCTGTCAGCCTCTGGGACTGTGGGCCCCATCATGTGGGATGGTGTGCTTCTTCATGGGGGGCTATGCGCCTCCTCATGTGGGGCTGTGTGTCCGCTCATGGGGGGATGTGTGTCCCCTCATGTCCTCACGTGAGGGGGCTGTGCGCCCCCTCATGTCCTCACGGGGGGCTGTGTGTCCCTCATGTGGGGCTGTGTATACCTTGTGTGGGGCTCTGTGTCCCCTCATGTCCTCATGTGAGGCTCTGTGTCCCCTCATGTCCTCATGTGAGACTCTGTGCCCCCTCATGTCCTCATGTGAGGCTGTGTGTCCCCTCATGTCCTCATGTGGGGCTGTGTCTCCTCATGTCCTCATGTGAGGCTGTGTGTCATGTCCTCATGTGAGACTCTGTGTCCCCTCGTGTCCTCATGTGAGGCTGTGTGTCCCCTCATGTCCTCATGTGGGGCTCTGTGTCCCCTCATGTCCTCATGTGAGGCTCTGTGTCCCCTCATGTCCTCATGTGAGGCTCTGTGTCCCCTCATGTCCTCATGTGAGACTCTGTGTCCCCTCATGTCCTCATGTGAGGCTGTGTGTCATGTCCTCATGTGAGGCTGTGTGTCCCCTCATGTCCTCATGTGAGGCTGTGTGTCATGTCCTCATGTGAGACTCTGTGTCCCCTCATGTCCTCATGTGAGGCTCTGTGTCCCCTCATGTGCTCACGTGGGGCTGTGTCCCCTCATGTCCTCATGTGAGGCTGTGTGTCCCCTCATGTCCTCACGTGGGGCTGTGTCCCCTCATGTCCTCATGTGAGGCTGTGTGTCCCCTCATGTCCTCATGTGAGGCTGTGTGTCATGTCCTCATGTGAGAATCTGTGTCCCCTCATGTCCTCATGTGAGGCTGTGTGTCCCCTCATGTCCTCATGTGAGGCTGTGTGTCATGTCCTCATGTGAGAATCTGTGTCCCCTCATGTCCTCATGTGAGGCTGTGTGTCCCCTCATGTCCTCATGTGAGGCTGTGTGTCATGTCCTCATGTGAGAATCTGTGTCCCCTCATGTCCTCATGTGAGGCTGTGTGTCCCCTCATGTCCTCATGTGAGGCTGTGTGTCATGTCCTCATGTGAGAATCTGTGTCCCCTCATGTCCTCATGTGAGGCTGTGTGTCCCCTCATGTCCTCATGTGAGGCTGTGTGTCATGTCCTCATGTGAGAATCTGTGTCCCCTCATGTCCTCATGTGAGGCTGTGTGTCCCCTCATGTCCTCATGTGAGGCTGTGTGTCATGTCCTCATGTGAGAATCTGTGTCCCCTCATGTCCTCATGTGAGGCTGTGTGTCCCCTCATGTCCTCATGTGAGGCTGTGTGTCCCCTCATGTCCTCATGTGAGGCTGTGTGTCATGTCCTCATGTGAGAATCTGTGTCCCCTCATGTCCTCATGTGAGGCTGTGTGTCCCCTCATGTCCTCATGTGAGGCTGTGTGTCCCCTCATGTCCTCATGTGAGGCTGTGTGTCATGTCCTCATGTGAGAATCTGTGTCCCCTCATGTCCTCATGTGGGGCTCTGTGTCCCCTCATGTGCTCACGTGGGGCTGTGTCCCCTCATGTCCTCATGTGAGGCTCTGTGTCCCCTCATGTCCTCATGTGAGGCTCTGTGTCCCCTCATGTCCTCATGTGAGGCTGTGTCCCCTCATGTCCTCATGTGAGACTCTGTGTCCCCTCATGTCCTCACGTGGGGCTGTGTCCCCTCATGTCTCATGTGAGGCTGTGTCCCCCCATGTCCTCAGGGGGGGCTATGTGTCCCCTCATGTCCTCATGTGAGGCTCTGTGTCCCCTCATGTCCTCATGTGAGGCTGTGTGTCATGTCCTCATGTGAGACTCTGTATCCCCTCATGTCCTCATGTGAGGCTATGTGTCCCCTCATGTTCTCATGTGAGGCTCTGTGTCCCCTCATGTCCTCATGTGAGACTCTGTGTCCCCTCATGTCCTCACGTGGGGCTGTGTCCCCTCATGTCTCATGTGAGGCTGTGTCCCCCCATGTCCTCATGGGGGGCTGTGTGTCCCCTCATATCCTCATGTGAGGCTGTGTCCCCGTCCCTCATGTTGTGTCCGACCAAGAGCTGTTTCAGTTTAGCTCTTTCCCTGTGGCCCAGGGCTGTGCTCTGTGCTACTGCAACCTCTTGTCTTGAAGTGTTTCCTGAGGTTCGAGGAGGAAACTGAACTAAAAGCTGCAGCTGTGCAGGCGGGCCTCTCCAGTCAGGGATTCCCGCGAACCCTCTTGAGCCGCCAGGCCTCTCAGCCAACTGTTTCAGAGAACTGAGCCAACGCAGAGGCGTGGGTGTCACCCCCGCCCCCTCGCAGTGTGGAAGCCTGGCGCATGTTCTGCTGAAGTCAGTTAGGTTTGATTTGAATTCTGGAAGAAAAAAAAAAAAAGCAGGAAGTCAATGGTCCAGTGAGCTAGCTAGAAACTTTTCATCGGTTGAAGAGAACAGTGGAAATCTTTGATATCTGCCCATTCAGGATCTGCAGCCTCCTGGGGACAGCCCCGCAGCCGGGCTCACATCTGATAAGGCCGCCGCGGCTGTGCACACGCGGCCGCGCCCTTGTGAGCCTCTCCTCTGCTGGCGGACGCGTGCCCTGGGGGCGGGGCCGGGGTGCCTGCGCGCGTGGGCGCGGGGCGGGCCCAGGGCCCCCTCCCACCCTCCGCTCTGCGGGCAGCAGCTCAGAGTCACCGGGTCTCCAAGATAGCTTCCTGCACTCCGCGGTATCCGAGGTCGTGGGCAGCACAGACCGTAGATTAGAGGTCCTGGGTCAAATCAGAAAATTCTGATTTTTTGGAAAAAGATTCTCCTCTGTGTAAATGATTCTTTTGGCCCAACGTAGACCCATTTCCTTTTCGTCCTCCCCTACTCCTTTCTGAGACCTTTGCTTCCTTGTGCGTCCAAAGCTGCAAAACGAGCCCCGCCTCTCGGGGTGCAGCCCCCTTGAGGTGAAGGCGGTGCCCCAGGGGAGACCCGTGGGCGCACTCATGCACCCCCGCGTCTGGCCCCGCCCCCACCTGTGTCTGGCCTCCGCATCCGCGTGGGCTCCCAACCCCTCCCTGCGTCCAGCATGCGGGCCTCTGAACTGTTTCCGTTGGTCTGCAGAGCTGCAGGCATTCGCGCACCACGGCCGGCCGCTGCCGAGGTTCCAGGTGACTCTGTGCTTCGGGGAGGAGTTCCCAGACCCTCAGAGGCAGCGTAAGCTCATCACTGCCCACGTGAGTGTCTGGTCCCCTTCGGGTGACTCAGGGCCGGGCCCTACTTAGAGGGGTTCAGGTGGGAAATCAGTGTCTGCGGCTCTGGGCGGAGCGGGAGGGAGGGTGTCCGGGGACGGTGCCTCCCAGCCTGGACACCTGCCCATCACCACCTGGGATGACCTCTGGCCTACACTGCACCCGAGCCATACGTTTTGTTTTCCAAAGAAATAGTCATATTCCCATTTCATAGGGATTTAAAAGGATGGGGCTAAAAGTTGCCCTTTAAAATTCTTGACATTTAATGTTACTTTAAAAATGCCTTCTAGCTGACCTTCCCTTAAGGGGAAGCTTTCCCCCTGACTTGAGTATTGTGTAAGCCCCCTCCAAAAGTCCCCCATCCTCTTTTATTTCTGGGTTATTAGAATTTATTTAATTGTCGGGAGCTGGGGGCCATCAATGTCTGGTGGAGCAGAGTCTCTATGGCCTTCAGGCAGCTCAGGCCATGGTCACGCTTTCCAGCAGAGTCTAGCATGGGTTCACCTGCACCAGGTAAACATCTTTCACAGAAAAGGAAAGGAGGAAGGTTTAGAGAGATAGCATGTAGCATTAATTTGCCGCAGAAAGCAGAGTTTTGAGTGCTTGGGATTTTCAAATTTGAAATTGAAGCCTCTGAAGGCTGTGATCTGTGAAAGTTATTAACAGGCCCAGATGACAAATAGCAGCAGGGAAAGTCACACCAAACAATAAGAGAAATCAGGTCAGATCTTTTAAAAAATATTGTAATTAAAATTTTCAAAAAGCTTTTATTTTAGAGTATAGCCGACAATGTTGTGACAGTCTCAGGTGGACTGCAGAGGGACTTGCCACACACATATATATGCATCCACACAACCCCTGCTTCTTGATTATAAAATCAAAAAACAACTGACCAACCAACAGAAATACAGTCCCCATAAATCTTTAGAGTTTTCTCATGAATTCTGTCTCTGACCCGACAGTTACTGATATAATAACAGATTCTTGTTAACAAGTGTCCAAGGCCTGAGTGGCCTCGGCGCAGGCACACAACACCTCGGAAGGTGGTGGTGAGCCCTGCGTCTGAGTCTCGGGGCTGGCACACACTGGCCTGGGTCAGCCGGGACCCTGGGTGCACCCAGGAGTCTTGCTTCTCTTACTATGGATTGAATCTGCTTCAGAGACTTCAGATGAGTCATGCCTGAGCCATTACGTGTCGACTCTCATACAGGCTGCGCTGAGGAGCACAGCTGGCGGGAGGGATGTGCTGCGCCCCGTGCTGTGAGCTCAGAAGAGCTGAGCACTGACTGCTCTCTGGTGGATGTGCTCCGCCCTCATACTGAGACGAGAGGGATCTGGGGTCAGTTAACTTCTCTCTTTCCACCATCCCTGTTAAACGGCAGATGTGGACAAGTAAGTCCAATGGCCTAACTTACCGGATTACATTAAACTTTAATGAGACTCAGGTTTGATCCCTGGGTCAAGAAGATCCCCTTGGAGGAGGGCTTGGCAACCCACTCTGGTATTCTTGCCTGGAGAATCCCAAGGACAGAGGAGCCTGGAGGGCTACAGGACATAGGGTTGTGAAGTTGGATGCACCTGACATGACCGAGCATGCACGCACCTTAATTTAGTTTTACCTTAATTTACCTTTAGTTTTACCTTAATTTTACGTTGACCTCTAATTCGGTCATTTTACCAATGTGCTTGGTTTAGTTCTAGTTTAGTGTAAATGTCAAGTGGCAGCTGGTTTACAAACACCATCATTACCTTTCCTTTCAACTGAAGCGCAGATTCAGTAGATCCTGTCTGTAGATCACTGTGCTCTCCAGAAGGCTCCTCATGTGGCCTGTCTTCACGGTCAGGGCACCTGACTGCACGTGTGACCGCATCCTTAGATGCGGCGGGTTGTTGCCAGATGTCGACGATGCCTTGCTTCGATCTCCCGCTGCAGGTTGAGCCTCTGCTAGCCAGACAGCTGTACTATTTCGCTCAGCAAAACAGCGGACACTTCCTGAGGGGCTATGACCTGCCCGAGCACGTCGGCGGCCCGGAGGACTTCCACAGGCCCCCGCGCCACTCGTCCATCCAGGAGTGAGAGCCCCGGGCCGGAGGCGGCGCACGTGTAAATACGCGCGAGGGGGCGGCTGGCTGAGCCCCTGCTCTTTCTCTGCGAAATGTGGGAACGGGGGCTTCAGTCCCACCCCTGAGGAGAACACTGGTAGAAAATCAACTTGACAGATGAGCTTTTTCCAGAAGAAAGAATGGTTTTCAGGGTCTTCTGTGGACCCCAATGATAATGTGAAAACTCATCATCATGTGGTTTACATTTACTGACTTGCTGTCTCCAGTCTGATGTGGACTCTTTCTTGCATGAAGACTGAGAAACCTGTGCTTCATTGCTGACTGCCAGGATGGCATGAAGGTACCCAAGTGCCAGTCTGTTTCTCAGGGAAGTAGAACCTACGTGTTCTGCCCGGAGGAGGAGTGTGCCGGCCGCTGTGGATGGCGCACCTCGGGACGCTGACAGGAAGACAGACCTGGCTCCGGGGGTCCCCACCTTCCCGGGGCCCCTCCCTGGGTGGCCCGCCACCTGCTGTCTGCACCCCCAGGCTTGGAGCCCAGCTGGTGTGACCCTGCGGCGCTTCTCGGGCCAAAAGCATCAGGGCCACCCTAAGCGCAGTGTTTTGTCACCTCATACTGACTGGTTAAGATACTTTCTGTTTGTCTTTTTGTCTCTCATGCTGTAGAAATTATCGCTATAGCAAAAAGAGGAAGATTGACAGATCAACAACCCAAGGCGCAGTTCTGAAGCTTGGCGCACGTCTCCCCTCTTGTCCTGTCTGTTAGGAGACCGGCCGCCACGGCAACACTAAGAGGGGGAGCGGCCGCCTGCCCGGGGAGCGCCCTGCGCGAGGGCAGGCCAGGGCTCTGCAGATTGAGCAACTGCAGGCCAGGGGGCTGTTTTTGCTTACTTTGTATATTACACGCTTCCTCATGCCAGAGACCACTTGACAGGGCCTTAAAATTATTGGGCTTTTTCCAAACACGGCTTTTTATAGAATCACTAAGATATCTAATTGCTTAAGTGAGCCTGACCACTTCTTTGCTGTTCTTTTTGGAAAAGTACAGATGTTTGGCCCATGGGCTAGCAGTTTATTCCTGGCCTACTAGGACAGGAAGTAATTGCCATAACTTAGGCTCAGTGTATGAACTGATGATTCTCTTATTCTACTCTGTGTCTTAGGGATAAAATAATACATATTACCCACAGAAGTGTTTGACAGTATAAAAAAGCAAAACCCAAAGAGAATCTTCCTTTTTTTCCAGTCCAAATCATCCTCCTTATAGGTGCCCACAAGAAGAATTTGATTCTTCCAGCAGATTTTACTTTTCTATAGATAGACACAAACCTAAAAAATCTCAGGGGTCCTTCGTGCACCCAGAGGTGTGGATTCACCTGCTCCTGGGGTGCTCCTGCCGAGCCCAACTGGAGGCCCTCAGCGCGGTTTAAGTGGTTCATTACCCATGCGGAGTGAACCCCTTCCGACAGTAGATTGTACTCCGTGGGCTACAGTGACTTATGCATCTTATAGATGTGAGCATCTGGGGTACATTACCCCCAGGGGGCAGGAGACTGCGGGCCACGGCATGGCTCTGCCTCCTGTGGCCGGCACCCCGCCCTCCAAGCAGACGCGCGGCTCCCTCGTCTCCTTTTCCAACACGAAGCTGCTCTGACTCAAGCTCCGTGTCTGGCAGATGCTGTTGACCGGGGCCACTCCCGTCTACGTGCACAGTGCACGTGAGCGGCAGCTTTCTGTGGTCTGGGGGACCCACAGCGTGGGGCGGTAGGTGGAAAACCATGAAGCAGGCCCAGTGAGGGACCCCGATGTGGGCTCAGCAAATCAGTCTAGTGTGTTAGTGGAGGATGCTGTCAAGTTTAGGCCCTTGTTATCTGGAAGAGTTTTAGGTCCGCGGGGAAGGTCTCGGGGGCGCCCCTGGCTTGTTTCTTGTTCCTGAGGTTTGGTCACACTGTGGGCAGACCAGCATCTTCTGGAGCACCACAGAGAGCTCCTTCACACCATGGCTTCGGAAGCTCCTCAGTCACCACGCAGAGACCCAGCCAGGTGGTCGGTTTGCGATGGAGAAACTGCTCCATGTGGCCCAACAAGCCTACAATCGTGGGGACCTCCTGAGTCCATCAGTGCCCTGCATGAGCAGAGAGGCATCCACGGGCTCAGCTGTGAACAAGGCTTTCGTCCCAGGTCACTGTGAACAAGCCCGGGTGCAGGTCTGACATGGGCTGTGTCCTCAGGCCGGTGATGGGGTTGTGTCCCCAGGGAAGGTTGCACCAGTGAAGGTCTTTTATTTCTGTGAATCATTTTATTAGCGAAAATCCAGACACAGCGTAAGCCCTTCCATTCTCCTGCAGTCACATCACCCCGCTTTCTCCACAGGCGAATCTCCTCTGGAGGTGCTAAGCTTCCTTAAGCTCAGCATCTTTGTTACCTGTCTCCCTAAACAGCTGTAGCTCACGTGGGCTGTCCTGCCGTGTGCATCGTCTTGCAACTCGCCTCTTGGGCCCTGACTCGGAGCTGGACACATGTCAGTGTGCGGGGGGTGGTCTCCTCTAGCCCTGTTTACTGTTGTGGAAGACTGTGAGGGCCGATTCCCGGTTTCTCTTTTCACGACTTTTAGGAAGGCAAGTGTGTGGAGCACAGCTGAAGTACAGGAGAGACAGGCCAGCCTCTTCCAGGGCAAACTCTCTGTTAACCTCTTGGGGAGGGGGCTTTGCAGGTGCAGAGGGTCTCCCACCGCCCAACCTCACTCCTGGGACTGTTCCAGGCTGAACAGTCCTTGGACAATTGTACATAATCTTATGAATTTTGCTGCAAATTGCTTTTCAAAGCAGATTTATATTTGTGATATTTTAGAATCTTAATAAAGATTTTTTTTTAAGCAGTCTTTTATGGGCTGTGTGTGTTATTAAACCCTCATCTTGATAGCTTTTTAAATACTTCCTCCTTCTGTTGCATTTGGCAGCCTGTTTCCTTCCTGGTTGCTGTGAGCCTCCCAAAAATCAGATCTCACATGTTCAGCTCATTTAAAAAAAAACACACACACCCTGCCGCTTGCGTCCCAGTGTTGAGCAGCTCCCCACCCCGCTCCCTACCACCATGAGGGTCTCAGCGCTGAGGACCTGTGTCGACGCTTCCTTCTGTTCCATTGCTGTTGCTAAAGGGAAGGGGGTGTCAGTTCACCAGCATCCAGACCATGGAAAGTTACCAGTCAGGTGCGGGGGGCACAGATGAGACAACCCCACCCCAGGGCCTGCGCCCCTGACCCAGGTCTTCAGCCCCCGGCTCATGCCCCCACTTGTGCTGTTAAAACCCTTGCAGCTGAAGACTGTGTGATGCTCTCAGAAGTACGTGTCCTTTGCATATAGGAACACTAGAATGCTAGATCTGAATAATTTCAGATTTGCTAAATGGTAACCAAATCAAAATAATGGGGAAATAATCTAAGACACTGCTCTGGGGGCTCTGTCTGCTCAGAAAGTGTGAGTCTCACAGCAAGTTTTATTCAAACAGTCTGTCCTCGCCTTACATCTGAAAGAGGCTTTTAAGGGACTCTGCGCTCGAGCTTGGTCTCAGGCGGCTCTCCCTGGCTGTCCGGTACCGCAGCGTGAGCCTTTCCCCACCCACAGGGCAGGTTTGGCTGTCCTGGGTTCACTCGCCTCGACAAGCGCTCCCGTTTGCTGGGAGGATCACCGTCTCCCACACCATCTCTCTGCAAAGAAGCTCCAGCGGTTGAGTGAGGTCATCTTTTTCCAGGAGGTGCTGTCCCTGAGCTGACTCGGGCAACTGGGCCAGTGTCTTCTGAATTAGTTACGAGTCCTGGGCTGTTACAGGCACCTGGAGAGCCAGGAACTCTTCAGTGACCTCCGTCCGCCAGGGGACAGCGTGTGGCCCAAGGCTGTCCGGGGAGACTTGCTGGAGGGTGGGGACTCTGGCGCTGTCAACGGGCGTCTGATCCAATATATTATAAAGTTCATTTTATCTCAGTCCCTGAGCGAATGGTCAGAAGTTTGGAATCTGTGGACATCTTATGATCTTTGAAAGCTGTTGCTTCGCTTCTTTAGAAATTCCCGTTCTCCTTCCCGCCCACCCCCACCTGCCCCTGCCTTCCCATCAGCAGGGCATGACGGCGGCTGCACGGAGAATCGTCCCAGCAGATAAGGCATCTTTGTCTCCCCTGAACTCTCCTCCGGGTCATGCTCCCACAGCGGCCCAACACCTCCTCTTCGGGAAAGCCTCTCCTGATTGCCCAGCCACACCTCCCCCCAGGGCCCAGCTCTGACTGTGGCCCTTCTGGAGGCATTTCTTGCCCCACTGTGTACATCCCCACACCCCACCTGGCTCACTCCCGGGCAGAAAGACAACACTGGTCCTTGGTGGGAAAAGGGAGGGCTCAAGAAGGCTGGCAGTTTAAGAAAGACCAGCCCCCGCCTTCAGCCCTCTGGACTCACCTGGACCAGAGAAAGATGCTCAGAGCCGAGGAAAGGGGCCACCTGAGAAGAAACGCGTGTCCAGGCGTCAGTGTCTCCTGGGTAAAGGCCAGCTGTCCTCCTGGAAAGAAACACCACGGAGTAAACCTGAGAGGAGGGTGCGGGAGGAGCGTCCGTGTGGGTTTGGGGGCCCAGGGCGGGATGGGAGAGCGCCATGCTGGGGTGGGCGGAGCCGTGGGTGCTGGCTGGCTGAGCGAGGCCACGCGAGGGCCAGCACCAAAGTTAGTGCCAGCTCGAGTCAAGGGGTGCCATCTGAAGGGAACCGAGATCAAGCTCCCTTGCTGGATGGAGTAAGAGCTAAAATGAAAATTGCACTCCTAAATGAAACACAACATATTTCTTTGAAACATCAGCCACAACTTAGATTTGCACCTGCTGTGAAGCCTTTGTGTGGATAACAATAAAATGTGGAAAATTCTGAAAGAAATGGCAATATCAGACCACCTGACTTGCCTCTTGAGAAACCTGCATGCAGGTCAGGAAGCAACACTTAGAACTGGACATGGAACAACAGACTGGTTCCAAATAGG